CGAAACAAGCCCGAATGTTACAGTCTGTTGGTCGCTCGGGCTTTGGCCGGCTGAAGAAGAGGCCCTTGCTTTTACGTACTTGCCTTAGTGCATTGTATGGTCCCATCCCCTGTTCTCCTGGAACCTGCACTGCGCCTGTTGCCTCCCTGCTCTGCCCAAAATTGCTGCACACCATTAGGTACGCATGAGGGAAGATCGCTACACAAGTGCCGCGAGGGATCCAAGACTCCCTGTGGGTCTTTTTGGGCTTTTGGTTTTAGCTCATGTTTTCCACCGTAAAATGACCGGCAAGCCGAGAAACTGAACGTTCGCTATTTGTTCCAATTCAGGTAGTTAGTAATTACTTCACTGCCCCAGGAGGTTGAACTCTTGGCAGAGAAGATGAAGGATCAGCTAAGCTCAGCCCCTTCAAAAGTTGAATCACTGAAAACCCCGCAACTGACCTGGCCCAACACTAAACAAACCACACCCCCCTTCGTGGATCACGGTACAAGGTGCGGCAAGGAGGGAGGATCCATGGACTAGGGGTTGGATCTTTGCCTCTGCTCCCCGCTGTCCCCACTCCGTTACGATTTTGCTTCCCGATCTTGTGCTGCTTCTCTCACCAGAATGGTCTGATACCTTGGTGAACAAATGGCTGCTTGCTAGTGGCGATGGCCAAGAGAGCTGGAGGCACCAAGGACCCCTACAAGAGCCAAGAATCTGTATTGCACTAGAACTCAACCTGTTTTGAGTTACATCCAATTACCCACAGCAAGCAGCCTTTGCATTGACCCCAATTCATCTCCTTCGGTAGAGCTTGCTCCAGCCAGGGGCCATATGTAGTTGCAGGTTCAGAGGCTGCTGCTGCATGTACGAGCTGTACTTAATAATTACCTCCACGTGTCCGTCCGTCTTGTCTCGTCTCACTTGCATGTGCATCACTCTCACTCAAACACTTTCCCTTCCCTGGGTCAACCCTCCCCTTAACCCAACGTTATCAAGGTTTATCTTTGTTCATTCAAATCAAAGGACATTCCCTGCGACTGGTGCGCTGATGTGTCTATCATAATTTTCAGCAACTGCGCATATTCCTCCGAAACAGTCATTCGTGTCCAGAGTGCGCCCGTCACTCCTCCTCCCCCCACCACAATAAAATGAGCGGCATTCGACAGGAGGGCCGCGAGCTCAGTGATGTGAGCGAAGGCGGCAAGTCCCCAGAGGTCAAGGCTGAGCCTGTGGCGGAATCTATTGATCGCGAGGAACTAGACCGCGAGCAATTGGCCAGGCTCGGCAAGAAGTCTGTTCTCAAGGTATGGTATTTTCACCTCTTGTCGCTTGCAATCAGTGCGACCGCACTAGAGAAGAAAGCTGACCTAAAGTTTATGTAGAGAAACTTTCGTTTCCTGACCATTCTCGGCTTCAGCTGCGCCATTCTCGTAACATGGGAGGGCACTCTCATGAACTTCGCGCCTGGCCTGGCAAACGGCGGGCCAGGCGGTCTCGTCTACGGCTTCATCTTCGTCTGGATCGGCAATATTAGCGTCTTCTCTACCCTCTGCGAGCTCGTCTCCATCGCACCGACCTCCGGCGGCCAATACCACTGGGTCGCCATGCTCGCGCCCCGATGGTGCTCCAAGTTCCTCAGCTACCTGACCGGCTGGCTGACACTCGCTGGATGGCAAGGCACGTCAGCGGCTGCTGGCTTCCTGACTGGGACCATGATTCAGGGCCTGGTGACATTCATGGTGCCCTCGTACAACGCGCAGACGTGGCAGGGGACATTGATGCTGTGGATGTGTATTCTGATTGCTGTTACTATCAACACGGTTGTTAGCTCCCTGCTTCCCAAGATTGAGGGCATGATTCTTATTCTGCACATCATTGGGTTCTTCGCCATTCTGATTACACTAACCACGTTTGGCGCGAATGCCTCTGCCACCGATGTCTTTCTGACTTTCCGCAATGAGGGAATGTGGCCATCTCAAGGTCTGTCATGGTTCGTCGGTTTACTGGGCTGCGTCTTCTCGTTTGCTGGTGTCGACTGTTCCTTCCATGTAGGACCACACCCATCTCGTATCCATTGAAAGCTCCGTTGCTGACTATTCTTCTATTTAGATGTGCGAGGAAGTCCGAAACCCCTCCGTCGCTGTCCCCCGGTCCATCATGACCAGTGTCACCATCAATGGCTGCATGGGCCTTGCCATGGTCATCGCCATGCTGTACAGTGCTTCTGACATTGACGCCGCTATCAACTCCCCCACTGGCTATCCTTACATCGAGATCTTCTACCAAGCCACCGGCTCTAAAGGCGGCACTGCTGCTATGACCTCACTGATTATTGTCATGACCCTCTCCGCTATTGTCGGTGTCATCGCAGCCACTTCCCGAATGTGCTTTGCCTTTGCTCGTGATCGCGCCTTGCCCTTCTGGTCCACACTGTCTAAGGTAACATCCCCAACTTGCTCAAACAAACTACATAGAACGGAGTCGTCTAACATCAGTTCTCCAGGTTGACGAGCGTACCAACGTTCCCGTCTGGGCCATCACCGTCACCAGCGTCATCGCCTGCCTCATCGGCCTCATCAACATCGGCTCCGCCGTCGTCTACAACGCCATCATCTCCGTCGCCGTCTCCGGTCTCTACTCCTCCTACCTAATGGCCGCCTCCCTCCTCCTCTACCGCCGCGTCGGCAAAGGCTACAAGCTCCCCGACCCCAGCGCCCTCCCCGCCCTGGCCGACACCACCGCCGGCGAGGGCCAAACCCTCGCATGGGGTCCCTGGCACGTTCCCGGCATCTTTGGGATTCTCAACAACACCTTTGCGTGTATGTTCATGCTAATCATCTGGTTCTTCAGCTTCTGGCCTCCGCAGACCCCTGCTGACGCTTCCACGATGAACTATGCCTCGCTGATGACGGGTGGAGTCGCGCTGTTTTCGGTTGTGTACTATATGGTATGGGCTAAGAGGGAGTACAAGGGCCCTCATATGGAGGTCCACGTTACCGATGAACAGTACTAGGCTGATTAGCAAGACCGCCAAAGGACTGCCTAATAATAGAATTTTATATGAAATACTAATCTTTCCTAAATTTATATATATATCATATATAAATTGAAGAGTTCAAGATCTATCTTTTTTACCTTTTTTATCTTACTAATTCTTACTTTATATTCCTATATATTCTAAGATTACACTATAAACATTATATATTTGCCCGGCACTGAGTATAGGAGTGAGATGTGTTATGTTTCAGTATCTATAGAACAAGGGCTTATTGTAAATACCTAGCTATTACAACAACATACGATTTATTTAGATCACATGTATAGAACCAAAATATCTTCGACGCGAACACTAAAGTCAAACTTGATCATCTCTTAAATGTCACCTTCTGCTAGCCTGCTATGAAGCGGGTGCTAACTAATCACATGAGATTGAGTAGGCTTGGGGCGCATATGTTACGGGAATGCATGTATCAACGGCCAAGGTAGCGACGGCTGCGAAATCGGCGCAACCTTCAGCGGAAACCCTGACAGTAGGGACTTTGCCATCGACACATCCCTCAAGAAGCCTGACATTGACATTTGTAGCTGGAAATTGCTCAACATTGACGCATGTAAATTCCACAAGCCCCCCGTTGAGGTTCGCAGTGAGAAAGGGTTGGCTACTACAATCCCCACGAAGCCATTCTTCGACGACAACCTTCTGTGCCGTGCTGCCGGTAGCGATTACAAGAAAGGTAATTATAGGCTTCAACTATAAACTCATTTGTCAAATGGGTTATGGCTAAGGTGGTGGCGAACTAACCTTCATGATGGGCTGTTTATCGCAGGTCAAGGTAGTAAAGCCTGAGTTTTCAGATTGGTGTTTCAAATTGATAAATGTAAACTTTAGAAGTGTAAGAGACAAGTTGCTTTAGACGAAATGTGCCTTGGGGCTACACTTATATATATCACAAATATGGAGCTCAATCAGCTTCTGCTGACCGTTTTGATTGAAAAACACGGATAACACGTTTTTGCCGAGTTCTCATTACACGAATTCCGGCGTAGTCCGATGGGAAACAATTGCTACAATAAGGAAGGTCTCCTTTCTAGGAAGGTACTCGCGTCCTGCAAGACGACATGAACGGCGGTGAATTCTCATGGGTCTAGGAGGAGGCATGGACCGGGTCTCAGCTAGTACCGAGTTCTCAGAGTGGAACCAGAGACATAGGATCACTGCGAGATCATAGAGAACGATAAATCCACAGTCATACTAACACCCAGAATCAGTACGTTCAAAGAAGGCCGGAGGTAGGAGGAAGTTAATTACCAATTCATGCTCCTTTGTATTAAACCTAGTTGATTGGATTACTGGAAGTAGGACAGCTCGTAGTCTCAGCTACGGTAGAGATCACCAACTAATCGTTATCGCCCTCAACTTATGTGATTGAATAGCTTAGGAAACAGGGTCGATGATACTGAGAAGCCTACCGCCGGAGCGAAGACCGACTAATAATCACTCTTTCAGTGGCCGTCGAGTCCTGCGCGCTTTGTGGCAGGCACGTAGCTAAAGCGGCAAGGGGAGTAGCTTATCAATCACAAAGCGCACTTTGTATATCGTAATGACTGACTAAATGCATGAGTTTTTCGGTTGAACTATATCACCTAGATGTAATAACTGTCTCCGTCCGCCCCCGTCCGCCCGCTCTTGTCCGCTTCAGTCCGCCTCGTCCGCTTTTCACCAAGTACGGAGTGTTACCCGCCGTCCACCGTTTGAAGCGGGGCACACATATGCAGCTGAAGGCGTTCGATCCTCGGAAACCTTGACTGACAAATCATGATGTAGATTTACAATGATCCGAGCTGACAAACCAGCAACAGCTTACCCAAGCGCGACGTCGATACCTTCAACTTGATCTTCTTCACTGGCTTTGGATATAAGACCATTGAAAATTATAGGGCCCCATCAATAGCGTCAACATTGTGCCAATCTAACTGAGAAAAACATTCTACGAACGCTGTACGAAACCACTATGACTTCCAAGTTAATCGCTGTTCTTGGTGCCACCGGAAACCAAGGAGGTTCCGTCGCCGACGTCTTTTTGAAAAGTCCCGGATGGAATGTTCGAGCTATCACACGCAATCCCCTAAGCGACAAAGCTTATGCTTTATCAGTAAAAGGTGCTCAGGTTGTTCAAGCTAACCTGGATTCCCTAGAGTCACTCGAGAAGGCCTTTCAGGGGGCTCACGTGATCTTTGCCGTCAGTGACTTCTGGGGCCTTTACGGTGACCCAGCAAACAAGGACAAGCCCAATCCTGGACAGCCGTTGAATGTTTGGGCTGCTGAGCATGAAACTCAGCAGCTCCGCAACGTTGTGGATGCTGCGGCGAATGTTTCCACTCTCGACCGATTTATCATCTCGTCGCTCTCTAATGCAACTAAGTGGTCTAAGGGGAAGTATACTCATGTATACCACTTCGACTCTAAAGCCGCTGCGACGGAGTATGCAAAGAATACCTATTCCGATTTGTGGAAGAAGACGAGTGTCTTTCAAGCTGGTTTCTTCCTTACTAACTTTCTTGGGGATCCAATCATGACGCCTAAGAAGGTGAGATCCCCATTATCGCTGCATTTTTTCTCCCTCTAACATGATAGACGACGGATAATACGATTCGATTCATGACTCTCATCGACGGTGATTTGAAGCTGCCTATCATAGCTCCCGACGAAGATTCGGGGCCATTAGTCAAAGCTCTTGTAGAAGATGAGCCGGGCAAGAACTTAATAGGATATCGAACATGGGCCACTATGAAAGAGCTTGCGCAAGCACTCTCTAAAGTCACGGGGCTCAAAGCAGAGGTTGTCACGCTGCCCAAGAGCGAACCACCTGTTGGAGTGCCGCCAGAGCTGGCCCAGGAGCTGTCTGACAACTTTCTCTACTGGAATGAGTTTGGCTTTGAGGGCAGAGATGATCCCACAATTGTTCACCCAACAGCTGTAAGCCATATCTCAATAATTCTTTTGCCTACGTCTGCTAACCTATAAACCAAGCTTGCCTCACCCCCGAGCCTCGAAAGCATTGAGGCCTACTTACGCAAGCAGGATTGGTCGAAGATCTTGCATTGAAGTGCCTAGTTTGCGATGACCTTTCTGGCAATAGAGGGTGCGAAGTCACTGATGTCACCGCGAGAAGGAAATTGGCAATTTGCACGGGTGAGAGAGTTCGAGTATAAAGTTAAACAACAGTAGAAGATACCAGACCGACATCTCAACACAATAAGTATTGGTAAATTGTATAGATACAAACATACCAATCGCGCCTTATATAATAGTAGCTTATTAACAGACCCTAGAAGTCGTCTCAAGAAGCCTTGACACAGTTACCGCATTGCCAATTCATATACTCGTCGCGAGGAGATCAATTCAGACGCAGTCGATGTGGCGTAATGAATGTGAGAAGGCCTTCTGGGATGGTGCTTGGCATTGGGCACATATCCTAAGTAGCATGGATATGGCTCTAGAGCCCAAAAGCTTCCCAAGCCACCCAACAACATCAATTATGGAATATGACAAAAAGGCTAGCGAGACCGACAGCCATACCAACTACTGCGTTATTACCGCTTGATGCCGCGCTGTTGGTGTTACCCGCACTATCAGAAGTAGTTGTAGAGGTAGGACCGTTCGAGCCTACAAAAGTGTTAGAAGACAACGACTCAGAGATAGTTTTCGCCCCCGCAGGAGTAGTGGTTGCATCAAGAATATAGGTGATTGAAATACCAGAGGTGGTGCTCGGAGAAGAAGATTCAGAATCATCGCTAGAGCCAGAAAGTGCCTTTTCGACTTTGTCATCGTAGTCTGAGTCGTCGACAGCGATCTTTGCCACGCATGTGCCGTTGAAACACAAAGCGGCGCTGCACTCAGGGTCAGGCTTGGTGACACAGCAGTAGGTCACGCCAGATCTATCACCGCTCATAGCAGGCCCTGGACAGCACTTGTTGTTGGCTATCAGCTCTTGGTTCGTTGGGCATGAACCCTATAACAAGCATTAGGTGTGAGTTCAGGATTGCATTGAAGCGAGTATGGAGTGCTGTATTTACAGTCAGGCTTGCGGCAAAGGCAATATAGCCAGCGGGAGCCCATAGCCCTAGAAGAAACATGTTTCGAAGAGTTGCCATTTCGAATGATTTGCAAGTAGAAAACTCCAGTAGGTGAGGAGATATAAGAAGTATGGGGTGGGTCGCGTCGCTCAAGGGTACTGATTGCTTGATTGCTATGATAGTATGTTTAGCACTTCAATTCTGGAAAGAGCATTTATATATGTAGTTATCGTTCCTTGGCCCGTGATTTCTTTCCAAGTTCCAAATCATTTCCAGCCCTTGTAAAGAAGCTTCGCCTCCTATTTGTGAAGTGGCTATTACGGGAGAATAGGTGATTACCACCTGTAGCTACTCCAAACAGGGGTTATTGCGACATACGTATGGGGCTCTCTAAGGTAACTTGGGCCAGCATAATCTACGTTGCTAGGTGAGTACTATGAATCAATCTTGGATCGGCGGAGGCTTACCTCAGACTTGAGATTTTGCAGCTATGTCACATCAATTTAACACGAAGCAAGAAAAGGTCACCATGATGACCGCAGAATCTGTCCAAAAAAGGCAAAGTTCCGGCATCAGAGCGGAGACGGAGATTAATAGCAGACCTAAGCATGGATTTTAGGCGGTAATAGGGCTGAGTTACTAAATCCCAGCTGGACGTAACATTAGTATAGCTGGTAGTGCAGTATAATAATATAACTGGGTAAGAGAATGACAATTCCGCACATTCTCGCCCTTTACAGTATTTAGACAGCACTGGTAGTACAAGCCACCACAGCTAGCAAGACAACACAGACATGCCAGGCGTTCCGAGAACGAACCGCTGCTCCGGCTGCAAGCGCCGTAAGATTAAGGTAGGTCGATCACCTCAAGTTAATGCTATTCATGGCAAACATTCTCTGATTAATATTCAAAAGTGCGACGAGAATTGGCCAACATGTGGAGGATGTGCGCGAGCGAAGACAACCTGCTCGGGCCCTCCCAATCCCCATACGTTTGTCACTCACTTTCCTCCCAACCAAGCAGTAGAGGGTATCCCTGAGCGATCCGGGATCACCAACCGCCATGGAAGCCTTATGCTTCTTCAATCTCAGCGGCTGCACGGGAGCGATTCTTGCATCGGCACATTCCGTCTGTACTCGTCAACCTTGTCACCGGGCAGTAATCTCACAACTTCGGCCGACCGCATCGCTGCTCGCTTAGCGGCGATGCTCACACATGATGCTCCCCATGACATGATGTTCCAGGCAGGGTACCTCAAATATCTTCCCGCCCGTATCAGTAGCAGTCCTGCATTGCGCGATGCGGTGGCACTCATGTGCTCTGCTTATGCAAACTTCCAGCGCGGGCTGCCGGCGAATCAGGTTCTCAACCCGACCCTCTACGGTAAGGCTCTGCGCAGCCTTGGGCGAGCCATTGACAATCGTACCTGTATTACGGCTGAAACAGTTGCTGCAACTACAATCATGGAGAGAGTGGAAATATTGTTCGATGCCGGGAGGCCTTTCCACCGTGCGCGTCATGCCAGGGGAATCGATACTCTGACACGCCAACGGGGACCGCCGAAGCTGGATGATGAGTTTGATGTCCAGCTGGCACTTGAGAATCATGCAGCCCTGGTATTGTTTCCCTGGTGCTTCCGGTAATTGACAAGATGCTAACTGGAACTAGATTTGCCAGTGGACCGTCGATGGTGGAGACAACTTCTTCCTTCGCTCACCTTGGAAGGAATTCGTGGATCGTGCAACAGTGTCGGCTGGTGGTGTTTCTGAGAAGCGAAAGGATATATATGCCATTGGACGGTATTACGTGTATTGGCCATGCCTGCTGCAAGAGTTCAAACGCTTGAACAGTGAGCGTGATGAGCCGACAAGGATGGCCCAGGCTGAAAGATTAGGACGCATAGTCTCTGCACTCGATTTTGATGTGCGAGCCAAGGGAGACTGCCTACTGGAAAAGGCTTACAATCTCGGCAACATCAAGGAAAGACCTGACCCACAGACACCAATTGGCGCTCGGTACGACATTGTATGCCTAGACTCTTTACAGCTACTTGTCAGCTATGCGATGTGGGCTGCCATTTGCAATCGCATGCTCCATCATCTCAGAATGGTCCAGGGTCTTGCCCCATCGCCTTCTCTTGATAAAGACCACAGAAACTTCTGTCGTCAGATATGGATGTGCATACCCTATATACAGGAGCTCGGTGGAACCACTAGCGTTCTCTTTGTAGCACCTCTTTATCTCTCTTACGAGGGCGCCACCGAGGAGCTAGAAAAGGAATATCTCTTTGATTATATTGTCGAGGTTACTAGAAAAAGGGGAAGGTTGATGGAGAACCTACAGGATTTGGAAAGACTTGTACTAAATACGGCGCGGGCAATGGCTGCTCGAGAGGAGTTAGCTCATTAGTATATTGTTTCACAGAAGGCAGTAGTCAACTCTTCTATTATTGTTGAGAAATATCATGAAAGTTCAATTCTTAACACCAGAAATAGAATGCAGTTTGAAATCAAGCCTGGCTCCCTGAAGTGACTATCAAACATTACAATTCTCTGCGGATTCACGCCGTTACACTTTATTTACAAGCGTGGTAGCACAGTTGAAAGGATAGCTGCAATTTTCTATCTCTGGATTCGGTAGATTAGGGACAATGGCAAGGCGGTTTGCGTTGGCTACCCCCGTATACAAGAGATAGGTGATTAGCACGTACCTGATTAGAGTTTATCGTTTCCTCTTGTAGTTAATTAGCGACATAGATGAGGATCAATTGCTTCCATTTCACGATCCCTGCTAGTTTGTATTACGTGAGGTAAGGCGTAGTCAAACGCCGAAGAAGTGTACATCTTCCTCCCGTCGTGAGGTCATTTGTGAGTCGACCTGGCGAAACTCATGTATAAAAGCTGATTCCTTTCGTTTATTGATTTCTATTCGGATTCACTCAAACACAAATTAAACATACTGCAAAGATTTACAGTTCCTACAATGCGTTCTTTTATTTCAACTTTGTTCATTTTATGGGCGTCCACCCTCACGTTGGGGGCGACCATGAACTCCACTACAATCACTTGGGTTGAATGTCCACCTGATTCGACTTTCGGAACCCTCGAGGCAATAGAATGCGGCCAGATCACAGTGCCACTCAATCATAGCGACCCTCATGGAGACACCATTCAGCTGATGTTAACTCGGCTCCGGGCAACTAGCTCCAATAATCTTGGGCCTCTCTTTCTCAACGCCGGCGGGCCTGGACTGTGGACTTCGAACTTGGTCAAGGCACAAGCCTATTTCGAGAAAACAGGACGTGAAGCCTCACGGAACTTCAGTCCTGACCTGCGCAATTCCTATGACCTCATTGGCCTTGACATGCGCGGTGAGGGATTGAGTCAGCCCATATTCTGTAACTCAGAAATCTATAACCGCCCATACAAAATGATGCCTACAGATCAAGCAAGTTTTGACCAGCTGTGGAAGAGAAACAGGGCTTTTGCCGAGAGCTGCCACAACATGACGGGGCCTCTGTTCACCCACCTAGGAACTGACCAAGCGATCCGGGATTTGGACCTCGTCCGGCAAGCTCTTGGGGCAGACGTGTTCAATTATCTGGGATACTCGTACGGCACAGAGGTTGGGTCTGCATACGCTTCTCTGTATCCACACACTGTAGGCCGCATGGTGATTGATGGTAACCTTGATCATTCCATGACTGTTCCTCAGGCAGTCATCAGTCTGGCAAATGCATTGGAAGATACATTGGAATATTTCTTCAAGTGGTGTAACACAACGACCGATAACGCCCTCTACGGCCAAGATCAACATGCTGTGTGGGATGGCATCCTCAAGCACGCCGATGAAGGTACTCTCATCGCTGCGACATGCGAGGAGACTGGCAAGTGCAACTCCACCATCACTGCCGATACTTTTGTATTCAATGCGCAAGGCCTCATGGAGAACGGTAATGTCAAAAAGAGCCTTCCAGGCGCTAAGAGCGACTTCTACCTACTGGCGGAGCGTCTTGATGCTGCCCGCGACGGCAACGGCACAGCCTTTGCTGCGCCATACGCTACGAGCAACTCATCTTCTGATCCAGCGATGGGGGCGTCATATTCCTTTGTTTCTATCTTCTGCTCAGACTGGGCTCACACCATCCGTTCCGTTGGAGATATGCGAGCCATTGCCACGGCAGCCAACATTGTGGCTCCTCGTACACGTGGACTTGGGACCATGGCCATCGCACAGTCAAACTGTGTCGGCTGGCCATTCTCACCATCGTTCCATCAACGTCATCTTGACTTCAGCGGGGTGCCAGACCTGCCCCCCATCATGGTAGTTGGTTCCTTCCACGATGAGGCTACTGCGATGCAATGGTCGGTCCAGCAGCGGTTTCAGATTCCTAATGCATTCAACGTCTGGCGTAACGGTGGTGGCCATACCGACTATCATTTCATGGGAGAGACGCAAAAGGCTATCGATGCCTTTTTGTTAAATGGCACTATTCCAGAGGATGGGACTGTGTATAGCACATAGAATAGGGCTGATACTGTGGCGTAGAGCTGTGCTTATTGGATTGGATAAAGCTTCAATTCGTCAGAGTGAATTGATTGGAATACTTTGGCGGATCCTCATTCATAGTATTGCTCTAAATTAGTTCCACATAAACCGCATCGCCTTCGTTAGGAAGCCCAAGTTACTTTATCATGCTCGTGATTCTTAGCAGGTACACTCTCTGTATCTTTAGTTTGGAGGACTGCAAGAATAAGTTATCTCAGCATCCTAGAATTTCACTGATACTACCATCTCCAAAACCACCTTTTTTACGCAGCTGAGTCATCGGGCCGTCTCAAATGTGTGTTTTCAGCGCGGGGTTCATCAGAGCCAATGGAAATCACGAGCGTGGCACATGACACCACCTTTGCTTACGTGCTGCCTGGAGTCTTGTCGCCGTGCCCTCAATGATCGTAAAACATATGCAAGAGAAGCTTTCCTCATTGCAGCAATAGTCTTTCACCCCTTGAGATTTCTCGCCTTTTATTGTATAGAAAAGGAAATCGAGAGCGGACTCTGATCCCAATCTGCACTATGGATACTGGATTCTGCATCCCGGTCCCGTTGGAAAGCCTAGATGCTCAGGAATTAATATTTGGGTATACGATAATAGGGGACGCTCTGACACCCATTTTCCCTGTCGGATTTCGCAGCGTTCTTGTCCCGGCGTGGTTGGATTGGTTCACACAGACAGGACAACTGTGCCACCCATCTTCGCGGTTGAGCGTTACTGATACAGATGCGGCGGGAAGTCTGACGGCTGACGCGTACGATGAAGCCCCTGTCTACCAATACTCTCCTCTAGAAACTCCAACTTCTATCCGGATGTTCCGTCTGATAGGATGCGATGCAAAGACCAGGTCTCTAGTAGGAACCTTCATGCGCGTCGACCTCGCCGCTGCAGAGATACCATCCTACGAGGCACTCTCGTACACTTGGGGAGCGGCAGTTGATGGGGAAGAAGAGGACACGGACGAAAAACCTTGGCGGGTCCTAATTTGCGATTCCGCATTCAACCTCACTGTTGAAGGCCTTGAGCAAGTTTTGCTCGTCAGCTCATTGCCAATCGGCAGCAATGCAGCATCATACCTTAGAGCTGTAGTCTCTAGACACGAGATGCGGGGAGCGACCCTAAACCATGAAGTTTGGATCGATGCCCTTTGCATTGACCAAGCCAACGCCGAGGAGAAGAAAATACAGATACCGCTCATGGGACAGCTCTACTTCAAGGCAAAGATGGTTCTCGCATGGCTGGGACAGAGCACAAGGCACTGGGAGGAGTTCAGTTGGCTGCACCGTGTAATGTTGCCAGCTTTGTGGGATGCCATTGAGTCAGGCATTGTGGCACTCAAAGCAGATACTGACCCGACCGATCCCGAGTTTTGGGCAACGCGCTTTCCATATCTCACGCCGCCTGGAGGGAGCTGGCCTGCTGTCTGGGAGTCTTATTGGCGGTTTCTGGACGAGAGGAGATGGTTTCGACGTGCCTGGACATACCAGGAAACCATTCTAGCAAAGAAGCTCCTCCTCGTTTGTGGAATTGAGTTCAATAACATCGCACTCGAGCATGTAGGTAGTATGTGCAACACAATGCACCATACCGGCTGGCGCAGCATTTTGACAGTTCGATATTCTGGCTGGTCAGAAGATAACCCGTGCAAGTTCCTCATGGGCCTTGTTAGAACCCGCCGTAACATACTAAAAGCAGTGGCACCGCCCTCCCCCTCCGAGTCCAATAGCGAAATTAATACAGAAGTCTCCGGACTGTCATACGCTGCTTGGCTGTCCCTTTGGACTGAAGTATGTGTCGAACTCCGTTCGCGTCAATGTGGCTTTCAAGAAGACAAGGTCAACGCGACTCTTGGCATTGCAAGTCTACTGCGACCGCCCCAAATACCTGATTCTTTCTTTCTAGAGCCAAGCGGCTTGGATGCTAGCAAGGCCTATATGTGGATGTCATCTCAGTTAATCAGCCAAGCTGGTAGTCCTCGCTTCATGTCCTTTGCTGGGCCACCGTCGTCGAAGAAGATGAATAATCTGCCCTCGTGGGCTGCCGACTTTTCTACAGTGCTGCGCAGTACTACGGTATGTCAAACATATGGCGATAGTCCATCCGGCCACCGGATCTTCAATGCCGGCGAGGCCCTTGCAACTAATGCCAAGAACGAGCTGGTAATTAATGGCAACAACCTTGTCGTTGACGGCTCTAGAGTCACACATTTTCGTCCTCGTTGTGTCTGCGCTTTGAACGACCTGCACGAGACGTGCCTGAAGATGGTTCTCAAAATGCCTAGTCGTTACGCGCAGACATCGCAATCAAGCCTAAAGGCGATTCGAGAAACACTGGTTTGGGATCACAGCACCGAAGTGGCCCCCATTGACGAAACCTGGGGCCAGGAATTTGTGAATTGGCTCGAGGCGCGATTCTCCCTGGGTTGCTTACTGCCAAGCCAACCGGACCATCCGAGGAGGAATAAATTCGTACCTAGAACGCAAGAGGAGTGGTGGACTGATAGCCAGCATCTGATTCGCAGAGTGGGTGAGGCAGGTAGCTGGGATACAGAAAATCCGGCACCGTCTCTTGAGGCTATACAGGCCACGGTTGATGAGATTCAGAACCATCCAGCTTGGGATATATTTAGTGCTGAGCAACATTCGCTCGAAGACGACCCATCATGGTTTAACTTCTTTGACCGCGTTTGTGCGGCTATTCCCACATTTAAAGAGATATATCACCTGGCCTCGTGGAGTGACCTAGCGCAGCGTTTCCGAGCAACATTATACAACCGCATAGCTTTCCTAACGGAAAGTGGATATCTGGGCTTGTGTTCTATCGACGTGCTGGATACGATGTTGGTGAGACCGGATACTGATGCCGAAATCTGGATCCTGCACCGTGGACCTGTTCCATACGTCCTGATGCCAGAGCCTAATACAACAAACACATTCGTATTCCAGGGTGATTGTTACATCCACGGTGCGATGTATGGCGAATGGAAACCCTTTCCCAACGAAAGTATGGATCCGGCCACCAATGAGGGAAACCCCGAATCTTGGTTTTACAGCAAATGGGGAGAAGCGGTTCTTGAAGAGGCACATCTTCTTTCTGAGATGGATTCGAATGCAAGGGACCCTGATGAAGTTTCCGCACAACAGCTGAAGCAACAAAATCAAGAAGTAATAGCTGATGATGTTATCACACATTTGCAAGGCATGAAAATTTCCCAAACAGAAGTAGGCAATTGGATTGGGGAGGCGACAGTGTCTGCCGAGCATGGCTTGGCACGCCCTCGCTACGAGGACATAACGAATCAACCAGTAACGGAAAAAGAAGAACACAATGGGACAGCCGGGACTGAAAATGAAAAGGGTCAGACCCTCGGTCAAGTCATGTCTATTACTATTATCTAGGTAGTATGAAGTTCAAACTATAGATACTAATATATAAAGACAAGGACGACTAGTCTGGGTACTCTTCAGGAGCAAAGTGTATAAGCGTGGAGGACATCTAAAAAGCTTGTCATCTATCTCACCTTCTCTCTACTGCTGTACTATTGTATTGTCCGAAAACCGGTATGTACCATTAGGCCACTACTGAGGCTAGACGAGTATAATTTAAGAACGGGGCAATAAGTTACAGATAAGCTTACAGATAAGCCTTCATTCTAATCGACACATTGCGGAAATTATTTGGAGGCAACGCTCCAGGCACATCTCCGAGGCGTTGGCGTGAGTAGTCGCAAGATCGCGGATGCCATGTGTCTCGCCTCGGCACTCATCGCCATAGATGAGTTTGCTTCCATGCAGCAGCGCCATCCCGAGCCGTACAGTCCGCCAGTTGAGTGGCTACATCTTTATCGAGGTGTCCGCGACGTCTTCGCCGCCGACAAGCATCTCGTGGGTCAAGGGAACGCTCTACTGCGGGGTTGGGTTGATGGGCATGTCTGACCACCAGGTGTCAAAGCCTACTTACAAAGCCTACTTACAAAGCCTGTGCGTATCTCCTGGTCCACAGACACAGCGATATACAGAGTAGCGAGGATGGCAAGATGTATCCTCATTCGTTTGGCTACATTGCATCAGTGCGGGAGACAGGCTGGGAGTGTTGGGACATGCTGATGCTCGCACGTGATTTATGAAGCTCGTCGGTGAGTGCGAGCCGCGTGCATTGGCGATCCTGGTGCACTTCTTCTCCGTGGTTTCCGTGTGTTGGCAGCTGTATTGAATGTGGATACTCCTAGAAGCGAGATGCTCGCCCTTCAGGCGTACTTGGGGCCGGAATGGTAGGATAAGATAGAACGGTCTGTTCAAGTAGTTTACGAATGATATGATATTGATTCACTAACCCACTAAGTATTATGATAACATGAACTTATGCGGATGCCAATATACTTGGCATCATACAGTTTGGAATCACCCCAAGTCTCCACAGTAGGGTGCGAAACAGTATCGGCGTTCAGAGTGACTCTGATATTCCTCTCATTATCAGCGTCCAACTTTGTCAGGGCGTAGAAATTGCAAAACTCGCCAGCGGACGGCCTAGACCACTGGTATTCGTAGAAGGCGATGTCGCTTCGACCCTCTGTGAAGGCTATCCAATTCGCCTTGTAATTGAAGAAGGAACTGTCGAGCCAGCTACGGAAATTGAGTGTGAACCCACGCGTGGTGACGTTGGAGGCCGATACTTCAATGCGATGAATGTCACGCTTGTCCGAGTCAATATGAGTTAGCCATACGAGAACCGTTGGCTTCCTGTCGTATGGCCGGCTGAAGAACACCTCTTCGAGCGAAGTCTGCGAGTTGGAGTTGTCGGGCTCCCGCCGCACGTTTCTCCAGCTTGCAGTGACAGCATCCTCTCCGCACTGAATGTCGGTTTCCTCGGGACTGATGGCTAAATAACAGGCCTCTATCTGCTTCAGATCCGTGGAATGAATCCAGCAGTCCATTAGGATGGTGAAACCATTGTTATCAACGCCCGTGGGCATGACTTTGGCCCTCAGGTGGTCACCAATCCCGCAATGCAGCGTCTTGACTCCGGCGACGACTCTGGGAGTTGACGGCCAAGGAATAGGGGAAGAAATTGCCTGAAGGACCGTAAAGAGTGGATTCCTGCGGCATTCCAGATATCGATTGTTCCACCATCCTCCCTCGAGCCAATCGTCTGTATTTGCCCGGCCAGAGAAAAAGCGAGGTGGCGCGACTGCATACGAGGACATATCGGACAATGTTTTGCTAACACCTAGAACCTACATCATCGAGTCAGCACATAGGTTACTTGTGTCAATGGGCGCGGTACGGTATTGACGTGCCTCTTCCAATCGATTGTGTGATTGCTGCATTAGCCCAGAAACAGAGGGCTCTGCACCGGTGAAGAAGGTCAATTCTGCAAGGTCATTCATATCGAGAACAAAGCCCTCCAGTTCTGTTTGCACTTGCTGAAAGTCTAGAGATGAATTTTGGTCAGTCACAAGCTTTTCTAGCGCGGACATTTAGGTCTCAAAATTTGGCTCGCCAACTTACACGACTTCAACTCTTTCAGTAATAGAGGAATCTTCACAGTTGAGTTGTTCATGTCGTTTTCAAAAGACGTGGCAATCTTCTTAAACCAAAGGCTCGCTCTTTCTCCTTCGCTGGGAGCAACGCGAAATAACTCCTCGTCGCTGATGTTATGTAAATCCACTGTAGGGATGGGGAAAACCGGCTTAGAGATCGACCCTGCCACCTGTGGACTATGAGATTAGAGCGCGGAGATTCAACATCAGTGATAATTTAGCAACTTGCAGTGTCCAAGAAGTCGATTGCTTTTTGAATCTTTTCTTTCCCCGTGGCCACAAGCTCAATGAGCCTGTTCGCTTCATCAGCCACATGTGTCCACTCAGCTGTGCAAGTCAATTTGGACCGCACGCAGTTGAACTGTGCTGTGAGCTCGCTCTGCGGGCCCAGGTAGGCTTCTAAAGGACGAAGACAACTCAGTCGAATCAGCCCCGATTGAACAAGTCCGTTTTAACACAAGGGGCAGGGCTGGTAACAAGGATACATACCAACAAGCTGAAGAAACAAGGGCAACTCCCTGGCCCATTTGTCTTTTACCGTTGAAAATCGGCTTAAATTGATAAGATCGTCCATCAAAGTCGAGCCATTTCCCCAATCGAAATGACCCATGGCACTCTTCCAATGATAGGATTGGTGGTCATTGGAGACACTAAAAGCCAGGTTAATATCCCATAGTAGGCTGGGTCTGATGGTCATCATGATGGGCGTGAAGGGGTGGCGGAAAAAATCCAGATGTCAATTAATCGATAAATCGAGAGTTGAGATGCTGGAAACAATGGTTGTTTGCAAGGTATTTGAGTGCGAGGTGAGGCCGAATCGATTGGATCCACTGAATGGGCGAGACAAAACTGAGGAACTAGAACGAACCTACAAATGCAGTTGGCTAGTTTAGGGCATCCAATGTCTGCTTCTGGTGTAGCCGCGAAATATATGCTACTCGATAGCTCGACCAAGGACGGGTAAGATCGGTTGGGTTCAAGTCTAGGCTCGAGCCGGCTCTATCTAGCCAGAGACCTTCGCTTATTGTCAACAATCAAGTCCTGAAGCTACAGACGCTAGAGGAATGTTCTGTCTAGCGCAATTGGAAGACACGGCTAAAATTTCAAAACCACTTCATCACATGTCCGCAAGACGAGACACTCCCCTGTATCTTCTTGCCAGCTCAGCCAAAGAAGAGTCTAGATCTGCAGATCGCTTAACTTGCGCACCGCAGGATGTGTTTCCGGGCAATGGTCGTCGTAGATCCTCTAGTATTTAGGAACTAGCCGGTGTTAGTTAATCATGAAGGGGTGTATAAGGGCGGCAGTCTGTCGGTACGTATGAGCTTTCTTCCCGCCTGGTCAATGGCAAATACCATCTACCATTCTCTCTCTCGCCCATTACTTACTCGACACAGAAATCATGATCCTTCGACAACAATACGAGACTGTCAGGAAGTCAGGGCAGTACTCGCGCCGATTTGGTTCTCATGTAGGTCTCCTTAGCCGCTTGACCTTCGTCCATCCCTCGCTTGTTTAACTAGGGACCAACCTCGATCTCTACTAGGGCTACATTATCGAAAGCAATGTCAATCTCGGCGACACACTGCAAAAAATTGGTGATTTAGATGAACATGACAACCAGACACACTATGCAACTCCTTCACGGGTACAGTATCTTCACGTCTACTGCGATGTGCTCGAGGTTGCTCTTGAAGAAGATGGCTCAGTCCAGATCAGAGCCCCTCACAAGCTGCGATGGCTTCGGATTTTTGCGAGGAAGCTTAGCTTCCCTGCAGCGCGAGTACCGGAATCCGAAAGCTCTCCCAGGTGCGGAACGAGAGTTTTTAATATGTTCTGCCCCCTCAGAACAAGACGGGCTAATCTTTTTTACAGCAATGTCGAGAGAGTCACGGCATTTTGGAACATCTCGGATAGAGCATTCAAGCTTTTTGGCTTTGAAATGAAGCGTTTAGCAACCACGCTTGGTCATGATTATATCGCTGCCACTGGCGCATTTCCTGCGAAAATCACCGAGATCACTGATCTAAGCCCAACGGAATTTGATCTTCGCCGGCCAGAAGTCGAGATGATGGACAACCTGGGCACTATTGACAGGTAAGATGAGCTTGTCTAAACCATCCATTTGAATTTTCCTCTGGGTAGACTGACGTACAAGAACAATGAGCTTGCTATTTTTGTAAAGAACCAATTGCAATTAGCCATCACTAGTATGAACTCGGGGGCGCCGTCGCCTTCGTCCGAGCGGAGCATCATCGAAGTTCTCCACAGCCCAGAAATCACATCGCGGCTAGAGTTCATCACTCTCATCACCAAGGGCTACGTTATGATGGCAGATGTCAGAAAGGTAGCCTCTACCCTGCTCTACCGCCTGAGAGTGCCCGACGCGGCACGAGTCTGGGTGCCCAAGTCCTCGTTCAGCAGCCTGCACTCGAGCCTGACGCAGTGGGAAGACTATGCGAGGGCGATTGAGGATGCTTGCGATACGCAAAAAATCTTGAACAACGGGGCCGATAAGGTGTTGGAGAAGATGACCTTGTTCCAGCTACAAGACGCCAAGCTTGATAGAAAGAATTTCGGCAATCGCTACAAGGAGGCAGCAGACGCTTTGTCCTCCTTGGCTAAAGATTTTGACACGTTCAAAGTGGGTTTCCTCATTGAAAAGGGGAAATTTGAGCAGAGCGTGGAAAAATGGAAACAGGAACAATATGACAAGATGGTGCTTGACATTGTATTCGCGGGCATCGAGATCGCGGCTGCCATCGGCATCACCGTCTTCACACTAGGGGCAACCGCTGGTGGAGTTGTGGCCGGCGCCGGCGAGTTAGCCAACACGGTAGAGCACATAAGCCAGACGGCCGAGAAGACGGAGAAGGCCCTCTCCGAGTTTGAAAAGCTGAAGCTCATCTTTGAACGGATCGGCCAGATGAGGGAGTGGACAGAAAAGGCCAAGGAGTATTACAACAAGGTCAACGAGGCGCTCAACAGCGACCCCAAGCATCCCAGCGACGGCTTAGCCAAAGCCCAACTTGTACCGCCGACTGATCTCGAGGCCATCAATTTCTATGAGCTCCTCAACCAGTGGGACGACTTTGAGAGAGAGAACAATGCCATGTTCAAGGAAATGGCAGGCGTGGATCCTCCCATCGACGGGCTGAGCCAGTTCCAGATGGCTATGGAGAAGATGACAAACAGGGCTCGCCACATGATCCAGGCTCAGAAGGAGCTCCAGTCTATTGATAATCAGCTCCGCCTAGCGGTTGATCACGAACAGCTCCGCGAACAACGCAGAGATATGTTCGCAAAGGCTGCCGATCCCGCCGACGACAGGTTCCTACAGTATCAGATGGACCAGAGCATGCGAACCACGCGTCTGCAAATATTTTTGCTCTTGCATGAGACATTCTGTGCCTACGTCTTCGAAACTAACACCCAGTATTTTCCAGCCGGGCTCGTTTTCCGTGACAATGAGACAGTGAGCAAGTTGTCAGAAGCCAAGGCCCTCATGTACCAAGCGCATAAAAACTACCTTGGGCGTGGCGCAATGGACACCATAATTCCCTTGAGATTTCGGACATCCACGGGACCGGGTATGGCAATCAATAACAGCATCTTCCCTCAGTCATGGAAAAAGTTACTAGAAAGCCAGGGTCAGGTCCCGTTTTCTATTCCAATTGGGCATCCAAAATGTCTCAAGAAATGTTTGGCAAGGATCAAATCAGCAATGTAAGTCTCGACATTACTCCCACGCTGCCTATATCTAGCCACTACTTGACTTGAATCTCACCCGTAATAGGTTGTATTTTGAAGGCATCACACCGCGAGTCCCCGGTAGCACCCAACCCAATGGCGGCTTAAATAAGGAAGACCTAGAAGACCTAGTCGTCCCCTTGGTAATTGAGTTTGGGCCTTTGATGACGCAGCTAGAGCATGACGGTACTGAGACTCAATACTTTGGGTCTCTAATGCAGGTTGAGTCTGACCAGCCCTTTGTCTTTCAAACCTCGGGGAGGGTATTCCAGACATTTCCCAAATCCAGCATGAGCCCTGCTTTGTATACAAGTGGTCAAGTGAAGCTCAGGGCTATGGGGTGGGAGGAATGGGATTTGAGCACGGTAACAGAGATCATTATGGAAATCCATGTCCAATCACACGGTGACGCATAATAAAATATACGACTATTATTCAAATGATTAGAAATCAATACAAAAAGGAGTCATTTGGTCCAATTGTCTCGTGGTTTACATTCGCTAATGGCAAGAAAGCTGTCGCATTGGCCAATGACAAAAAGTACGGGCTTACGGCTGCCAAGTTCTCGACGAACCTGGCCAGAGCAATGAAATTTGTTGAAGGTATCGAATGTAGGTAAGTCTGCTTTGGCTTTTCAATGATCTTAGAGCCGGGAAGAAGATCTAATACTGCCCTCCTAGTGCCGGCCAGTACTGAATAACATTCACTTGCTTTACCGCTGTTGGAATCGGCGGAGCAGGCAATGCATGGCCTAATTCTTTGTCGAGAATTATAAAAATAACGAGCTTAACTTCTCGACCAGAAGTGTAGAATAACGAGCCTCATTCCGGTCCATTTGACCGTAGCCAATGATTTCTTGGGGCTTGTACACACACAGCACCGGCATTCTTACCCTAAGGCTGACATGACAGCCCATTCCATAATTCGCGTATTCAGAAAGGGGGTGTAAGCTATGCTGAACCCCGGCACAGACAAGCCCTCTCGGAGACGTCTCATTGGTCACGTTTCGGTGTAAGGCAAACTACACCAGCCTATGAATCTTATGAGGCTGTATGAATGGTCCGAAAACAGATAATCCCGTGATGAGCTATTTTCGCTTATTATTATGGTACCTGTTTTACGAGTGGCCTCCGATATAATAAGCTGGGTAGGGCCATTGTCCTTCACAGAAGCATTCAATACAATTTTTCAATACACTTACAGAAGCTCATTATGGCTCAAGCCATTAAATATGTCTACAACCCTGTTGATTCGGCCGGGCGTGAAATCAGGCTGCTCGTCATTCAGCCAGGCTTATGGTCAGAGGAGATCACCTGTCGTCTGAAGACTGTGTCTCTCAATGATGGACCCAGATACGAGACACTATCGTATACATGGGGCGATAACTCGAAAGAACATTTGATCCAAGTCGATGGATCACGCTTTCGGGTTAATCACAACCTATTCCTGGCACTGCGTCGACTCCGTTCCCTGGATGAGGCTCGCGTCATCTGGATTGATGCGATTTGCATTAACCAGTCGGACAACAACGAGAAGTCAGCTCAAGTTGCCATGATGGGCAGGATTTACTCCAGCTGCAGTCGAGCGGTGCTTTGGCTTGGGGAAGATGATTCCTTTGACAATGAGACAACCTAGACAACCTCTTCACCTCCAGAGTCTACAACGGCGAAGCAGGCATTCGAGCTACTCCGTGTGCTTGGGGAGGATGTCCAATTTGACCAGCTTGCTTGCTTCACTAGCACCGAAGAGGGAATCCTTACTTGCGAGACCTTTGCTTCACACTTCAAATCTCTGGAAGCCATCACCTACATTCCATGGTGGAGTCGAATTCGGATCGTCCAAGAGATGGTGTTGCCGCCCGAGGTCGTCTTTGCATTTGCATCCGAAACCTGTCCGTACGAGGTCATTTATAATATGCATGCCGTATTTGGTGCTCACGCCAACTCTTGCTGCGCCAAGCTGTGGTTCCGCTTCACCGAGAATCCCACTCCCGCATGTGAATTAATCATTGCCGTCAATTTGCGCCATGGGCCATTGATTGCGGTACGCCGCCGTCGTGTTAATGGTGAAACAATGACCCTATCCGACCTTCGGCAAAGGTTCTGCACCTTTGAAGCTACACAAATGCGAGACCTTTTTTATGGCCTGCTGGGTATGGTGAATACATCCGGAGCTGACCTGCCACTTGTTCCCGACTACGGGATCACTGAAGCAGAGGCCATCTCTATTGCATGCTATACAAGCATTAAACAGAACCAGAATCTGGACATCATTCAAGGTAGCAGATGGGCTATTACATCGTTGGCACTGCCGAGCTGGATTCCTGATGTCCTCAATTCCGTGAAGAGTAGGGCCCTTGCTCCTCGGGAGAGGAGGTACAGAAATCACCTGCAGGGCCAGTTCAACGCATCATCACAGCCGTGCACTAGTGTGGGGTTGGTCGAAGGGACTGTGCTGAAAGTCTTATCATCCTGGCGTGACTTCATTACCATGGTAGGAGATGAGGTGCATGACGCTGAAAATGTCAATTGGCAAGATGTCCAGGCCCGAACGCTCCGAAGCTGGATGTCCGCACTCAATATCCACAGCTGGCCTACTATATGTCCTCAAGATATAACTGTTCATTCCAGTTTCTGGAGAGCCATTATCAGTGATTCTGTCTTCGTGGCGAATCCGAATCCGCCGTTTTTCCGTCGGGCCGAGCGACAAGATTATACCAAGATATATGGATATCTGAGTTCTCTCTTGGAGGACAGAACCAGTACTCCAGACTCTAATCTACTCGGACAGGAATTCAATTACCCTATTTATCTCTCCATGATGGACTCCCGTTTCGTGAGAACGCGGCAAGGTCGGATCGGGATAGCACCAGCGAGATGTCAAGTTGGGGACGAGATCCATATTTGACCTGGATCTAGAATTCCTTTTATCCTTCACCCAATCCAAACAAAACCGGGCAATGGGTCATGCTTGTCTTATGAGGTAATTGGAGACTGTTATTTGCAAGGTATCATGGACTGTTTAGACAGTTCTTCTGGACTCACTTCATGGGTTTATCTATATTAATTTGCGTAAATTCCCCACTGTCGATTGACCTTGAATGTGTCATTTTTGGCCGCTGTTTAGCAGCTTGTCGCAGATAGGCCAGCGTAGGGAGAGCATCAGCTTCCTCGCTTCCGGGAATGGAGGCGTGGCCGGGAACCCAGCGGAGTGTTGTGGCGCTGTGTGGCGCAGCCAGCGCTTGGAACTCGATGAAGGCATCCTGAGAGCAGTCGGAGGGTCTGTCTAGGAGGCATGAGGCTGCAGCAATATGTCGAGGCAGACTACAATCGTTCGATCAGAGCTGTTCTGGCCACCGAGGGCTGCTTCAAGCCCTTGCAGGGCGCTGGTGGCTTTGGCATCGAACATTTTGGCTAGTCCAAGGCGGCCACAGCCTTAGCGATCGATTGACCTTCTTCGTGGACGGTATACCCGAGCCTGGTGGCACCATCTTCTGCCTGCGAGCCATCGGAGTAGGCAACCAAGATAAGTGGTGGTAGGCTCTGGAGCCATCACCGGAACTCCGCAGCCGTGTCGTCTTTGGAAGCGGACTGGAGTGGTTCCTTGTTTTCACCAAATGCATCCTGCAGCAGCAATGGCTCCCGCAGTGCGGCAAGAGCTCGTCCGTCCTGCTAAGAGAAGTACTTCTCAGTATAGACGCACACAATATCGCAGAAGTAATAGACAGCCAAGTCAGCTGTACATCAGCTCGTCTTAACAGCGGATAAGTTAGTCAGGGCTGCAGCAGTCGCTCGTCGCGTCGGAACAAAACAAGTTGGTCAGGGCCATAGCAACCCCTTGCTACTGTAGAAAATAGAGAGGTCGGGACTGCAGTGAACCCTCGTCTTGATAGTAGACAGGCTGTTTAGTGATATGGCATGAAGGTTTAAAGAATTATCTGCCGTATAACTGCAGCCTTGGGCTAGCAAAGCTTCTTTCATTAACCTTTCGTATTCATTGTGTTGAGTTTGTTGGGTCTGACATCTTCTTTGTTTTAACGTTCAAGACAGATCTCCTCCGGTTCAGTGATATGACAATTACTTGTCTTAACGGCAGATATATAGGTCAGCTTCACTCGTTGAATATTGTACTGCGAAGTACCTTTCTTAGCAGTGTAGTGGGGATAACCCGTCCGCAAACATACTAACTGTGGGTCAATTGGACTACAGTAGCTGATTACATGTATTGAATCCAGACAACATTGTTTGGATTCAACAATCAGTTTGTGTATTGGAGCACACAAACTTGCATATATAAATAGAGATCGATCCCTCTCCCACCTACCAACTGTCTTACCTTCTCAACAACTTTTTCCAGTTCCCAGAGAATCGCTTGGTACGCTCTCTTTCGCTACTCTTAAATTATCACGGACGAGCTCTTACTCCAATCACGATGCCTCCCAAAAGGAAAGGAAAGGGCGGTAATAAGCCAGCTAGCACCACCGTCGACCAGCCCACTGCCGACCTTTCCAAGGTGCTGACCGACTTCGTGTCGTCGGGGAGCAACTCGACCTTTACCTGCGGCGGCGTTATCCCCCTGGCCGACATGGCCGCCGCTCGCTTGCCGGGTGGAAGGGCAGCTGCGGCGTCGCCGCCCCGAGTCGACGATGACCGTCCGGTGGACAAGAAGCGTAAGGCGGCTGGCGGTAAGAGGGCAGGCGGCAAGAAGCGCAAGACGGCGAAGGGTAAGGCAGAGGTAGCCGAGCCAAGGGCCGCCAGCATCGAGCAGGTCCCCGAGCCTCAGCCCGGCGCGAGAGTGGTCCGCTGGGACCGCACCGACGGCTCGCAGGGCAAGGTGACGTTTCCCGTGGCCGACAGCAACGTGAACGATGCGGCGGCCTTCGACGCCCTCGTGGACGACTGCCTGCCCGCCGGTTTCGGGCACCGCGGCAAGAACGTGCTCGACGAGAGCGTGCGGCGGGCCGGCGCCATGGACTGCGCGCGCTTCTCGAGCAACCTGTGCCCATACGCGCTGGGCATTGTCGACCGCGTTACGCAGCTGCTGCTGCAAAATGTCGCGGGCGTGCTGCCTATGTGTGTGCCGAGCTGTACAAGCTGAACGTGAGTTACGAAGGAAGGCCCCGAAACCTCCTCCACCTTGTCCGTGTGGATTGCTAACATTTTTTTTCCCGCGTAGATCTACAAGGGACCCTCAGGCTTCTTCAAGAAACATATCGACACGCCGCGGGCCGAGACCCAGTTCGGCTCGCTGGTGCTGTGTCTGCCCAGTGCGCACGAGGGTGGGCGCTTGACGGTTCGCCACGGTGGGCTGGAGCCGGTCGCGCACGACTGGGACGCAGCCGCTTCCGCCGGCGACGTCCTGCAGTGGGCTGCCTTCTACAGCGACTGTGAGCACGAGGTGAACGAGGTGAAGGCCGGCCGCCGCGTCACCATCACCTACAACCTGTACTACGAGCGCCGCGTCTCGGCCGACCCGATGGCCGGGCTCGATAGCAAGCCGGCGCCCGTAGACGTCACCAGGCTGGCGCCGTACGCGACCATGCGTGACCTGCTCCAGAACCCGGAGTGGATGAAGGACGGTAGGTCAAATAGATGATAACTTGCCCCCAGCTTTTGCTGACCATGTTGAGTACAGGCCACACTTTGGGCATCTACTGCGCCCACGCGTACCCAACCACCATCTCAAAGGTGGTGGACCTCGAAGAACCTGGTTTTAATTACGGGCGCTCTCGTACACCCTCCCCCGAGCCACTCGCGAGCGATAAGGTCACGACCCTCAAGGGTACCGACATGTCACTCTACGCCGTCTTCCGACGGCTGGGTCTCGAGGTCGACCTGGTGCCCATTATATTATCCTCAAAGTACCTCCCCAACCAAGACTATGGCGACGACGACGACTTTAAAAAGATCTTTTGGCCATGCGGAGGGACTGAGACCGAGCCTGGCATGGTTGGACTGACTGAGTTCATCACCCATGAAGGTGAAGATGCAGCGAATATCCCAATGGCCTTTGGCGAGCTGGTGAAGGATGTCGAGTGGATCACCGAGCCCCTGTGGCGAAACCTGGCCTTGATACACGGAAATGTGAGTGCCTATTCCCCCTCCCGTCAGTATCCGCCGCACGACAAAAACAAACCACTAACCGGTTTACTCGAATACAGTACTTCGGAAATGAAGCTGGGCCGCCCGGGATATGCTACGCGTATACTGCCATGATCGTCAAGATTCCTCCTGCGGCGAGCCGCGGAGACTTGGTCTCGAGTGCGTGACGTAATATATTGGCAGGTCAGGATTTTAAGATTGTTAAATCGTATGTCAGTTAGGTTGGCGTTGCCTTATCACATGACCTACGAACAGGTTGAATCGGGGTCTCTGACCCCTCTAGCTAGTTGAATACAACCACCATTATCTACTCACCTGAACCATCTAGTGCTAAGAGACCCAGCCAAGGGGCCCGGGACCTTTCACGAACCCGCGATTTTCGATTCGGTGGCACCGTTCCAGTCATCAAGGCTCACGCTTGAGAATGCTTGGTCATGAAGTGCTATGGCTATATGGAGGATGCCCTTAAGCCGAGTTCTAGCCTCACGCATGTCACGGCAAATATCCGCCATGCAGGCCACACTACCGGCCACAACCTTGACTCGACACCCTATTCTCTGGAGCATGGTGATGATATCACCCCCCTATGTGGTTTTTACCCGCGCTTGTCGATAAAAAGACCAAGCTGCGTGCTCCGCGCTGGGCCATCCAAACAGGAACTGAGCGGCCGAGGTCACTAATCAGTAAATAAGAGGCTTCAGGATCGAAGACATACTCTCTCCTAGGGGCCGCGCGGATTGTGGGTAACACCAACTGTCCGTCATCGCTGCGTATTAGACGACAATTTTGCGAATGTGGACTCCTTGCTGCATGTAGCGGTATGTATGATGAACCTCGTAGGCGGCAAACAACTCGTATACTGGTACAGGCTTAATATAGCCGTAGTTATAATACATCATAATAGACTGCAGGAACCTGAGTACCGGATATCAGTCAGTTTCTGTGGATCAGGACAGGTCATGACTTGATTGGAGATAATATTTACCGACTCGTTATATATAGTCGCCCGAGACCCGTCTATCGTAGGTCAAAAGAGGAATGGCTGCGACTTCCAAGGAACCGATCTAAGTCTAACTTTCCGGCGGCCAAAAGGTCAGCCTTTCCTATCTCTACGAGTGTACCCCATTTGGTAACGCAAAGCCAAGTTGCCTGGAGGCTGTTGATGCGCATGTAGATGGAAGCCTAGCTTCAATTCTATAATGGCAGTTTTTGTGATGCTGTGTATTTTTCCTTCCTAAAAGTCAATTTCGATCTCATGTTATCATGCCTCTTCCATCTGAATCGGAACTACAAGTTTTCCCCTGCCGTGATGACTCCTTGGCCAAACTCTAATGCCTCCTCGTTTTTCCCATTTGAAGGTTTCCTTCCGGCTAGCCTGACTATGCCACACATCCAAGCTCTTCATTGACACCAAAACAACCGACTCAACTGCACTGCAACAATAAAGGCCATCCTTGAACCGAGTAATACAAGGTTCGCTCTAAACCGTCAAGCCGATCCAAGCCCGCCACCTTGCCGGGAAGCAGCCATCAAGAGATGGAATCAGTTCTTCTCCTTGTCCCTCAGTCCATAGTCGGTCTCCAGCTCCTCTCGGAGCTTGACATCTTTTTCTAGACTGAATAGCAGCGCCGCCGCGCCACCGAAAGCGACTGAGCTCAAGAAGACGAGTCTCATGGCGTCTCTATACACATCCAGAACCTGTCCCCGGACAGGCTCATCAAAGGAGTTGACAAAAGCAGCAGTCGCGTGCTCATAGCCTCCGCCGCCCATGAGCAGCTGCGCCACGGCAGGATCAGATATCCTGCGAGCAAGCTGGTCAATACGGTTATTGAAGATGGTTGCCGGGACGGCTACGCCCCAGACCCCACCAATGGTGCGGATAAAAGTCCAGGTCGACGTGGCGGCTGCCTGGTCCGACTCGGACACGGGCGCCTGGAAGGCTGGCAGCAGCGTGTCGAGGATCATCCCGCCTCCCAACGCAGAGAGGCACTGGAGGAGAACCCACTCAGCTACGGTCGTGGTCCGCCCCATCAGGCCGAACAGGCCCATCCCGACGGCGAAGACGGTCTCGCCGACGATGTGGATAAGCTTGAAGCGGCCCCATCGAGACACGGCCATGGCGGCCAATATAGACCCGACTATGGACACGAGTGTCAGGGGCAGGATAGCGACTCCTGTGTACTGGGCCGAGTAGAGCAGGACTGCCTGGAAATACACGGGCACAAAGTACAGCGACCAGTAGACGAGCATCCAGTGGAAGAAGGTGCCGACGGCCACGGTCCATGAAGTGCGGTGGTGGAACAGGTGCGGCGGCATGACGAGGTCGGCCGCCAGCCGTTGGCCGTACGTCTCCCACGCCGCGAACAGGAGCAGGCCAAGGAGTCCGAGGAGCAGCGGAACCAACGTCTCCCACGAACTCCAGGGATGTAAGACCCCAGCGCCTGCGAGCGCATACAGCATCGAGACGGTGCCCGCCATGATGAGGGCGTTGCCGAGCCAGTCGATTCGTCTCAGCTTTTGCAGTACCGTCGTGCCTCTGTCGTAGTTGACGTGGAGAAACAGGTACAGTAGCACCAAGGTTAGGCCGCCGAACGGCAAGTTGACGTAGAAGGCCTGCGAGTAAATGTATTTTATGTCAGGATCTGGTGTCGTCTTTGGCGCAAGTTGGACCACTTACCCATCTCCACGTCGCATGGTCAACAAATGCACCACCGACAATGGGCCCAACAGCCAGGCCGATACCGAATATCGAAAGCAGTATGGCGAGGTAGTACCCGCGCTGCCTCAGAGGCACTATATCGGCGAGTATGATGTCTGTGCTAATCGTCAGCTCTGGTCGTGAATGCGTAAAAAGGGCCAAGGTGACCCACGAGCCAGCATCACTGCGCCCCCGGAACCAGAGCCTTGTATAGCACGGCCTGCAATCATCATGGAGCCATTGGTTGCTCCTCCGCAGATTCCGCTGCCAAGTATGAACAATGAGGTGGCGAACAGCATGGGCCACCGTCGACCAAAGACGTCGCATATCTGGCCGAAAAGTGGCTGAACGGCTGCACTGCGACATGGTTAATGCATGTTCTCTCTGCCGCGGGGCATCGAGCTAATCACCTCGTGACAAAGAAGGCATTTGAGATCCAGATGTAGGTGTCTACCATCATCAAGTCGGCTACGATGACGGGCCCAGACGTTACAACGACAGTGTTCTCGAGAGACGCCATCACCATGACGCCACAGAGAGCCACGATGACAACCCAGAAGCTGAAATTCCGTTGGAACGCGGGAGACTCCTGCTTCGGGTCCTGTTGTGACTCGCCGTTTGTCAGGATGGTGCTGTCACCTGCAGGCGCGTCCTTGGTGAGGGCATGACTGGTGGGAGGGTCAGGTTGGCCGTCCGTGGACCTGCCCTCGGCCGAAATCTCTGTCGTGGACATGGTTTAAATATGAAGGATGTTGCTTTGACAGATTTAACTTGTGCCTAGACGTGAGGAAGCATCAACTCTTGTTGGTAGGATCGACACGTCGGTCTTGGAAGCGACGGCCATATTCAAAGAATGCAACAAAGGTCTGGCCTCTGGGTTAATCAGTCGGTCAGACGTCCGCCCCTGCTCCCGGAAATTCCCATGCAAGCTGCCATATCAAGTCCACCCTGCCTATCTGCGGACTTGTGGGCACTTTGGTCAGTCAGGTTCAAATAGGAATCCAGTCGACATGGCTGACATGGTGTCGTTGATCTCATCAACACACGGCCAGGGTCTGGCTACCAATTCGGATACTACCCACCCCAGGTTGTTGGCCCTTGTTCGTGTGTAGTGCGCGCTTGCTACATGCATGCGACCCTTGCTGATGCCACCCTCCCTCTCTTGCCGGCCACTTGATATTTTCCTACATTCTCTTACGCATGGAGCAGTGCTTTGAGATGAGGGGGCAATCCTACAACAAATGTGCTTATTGCGCATCCAGGCTCACGGGTGGCATTGATATTGTCCAAGTACGTACAATGATGGTACACAACGCGCATGCCGCGTCGGATCCAAAGCCTCTCCATGCAATCAATCATCATAATGTGCCAAGTAGACAGAACAGCTCATCTAGTGAGGGTTGCACTACCTCTACTCCAGAATAGGCGAGTCTCTACTCCCTCTCGTTCCGCACGTCGCGAAGCATGTGTGACTCTGAATTATATAAAGCCCCGCCATGAGATTCATTGACATGAACCTTCTGCCGGCCGCTGTCTTCCAAGTCAATGTAGCCGCCGCGCGTGTTTTGCTCCGAAGGCATCGACGCCTGTGTTGGCCGAGACCGAGACCTGTTGCTGCCGTACCACGACGTCAGGGTTCCCATGACGCGGTACTTTTTGAGCAGTGGGCCATATGCAATTGCGCAGCAGCACCAAACGCTGCAGGCCATCTGGATGGTGGCCCAGAGACCCAGCTGGATTTGATCATCTGCAGTAAAATGTGAGCCAGGAGGCGCGGGTCACGGCACGGGAGAAGATGTGGAGAGGGAGACTGACGGACGTTGGCGTTGAAGGACAGGGCGATCTTGATGAAGCCAATGATTCCGGCGCTGTGACGTGGCAGTTAGCAAACCGGGCAAATTGGGCATTTGGAGCATGATGAATTGAATTGAAATGCCAGGCAGTGTCTTACAAGCCACCCATGATGAACACCACTGCAAGCCTCCACTTAGTGTACCGAGTCGTTTGGAGATGTCGCAGCATAATGACTGCGAGGGCCGCCATGCCAAAGTCTATCGCCGAGTTGACAGACTCGTTTGCCGAAGTCCATGCGCCGACGTTGATACAATAGCCGTCGGGCATGAGGGGGTTCCAATACTTGGGGACGGGGTTGCACTGAAGCAGAACGATAATAATGGTCTCGACAGCCCAGAGGAGTTGGACGACGGCGATGCCCGTGATGATCTTGACATATGTCTTGTTGATACCAAAGAGCCTCTGGTAGAGGGACAGGATACTGAGCTTGGCGCAAAGCTGGTTTGGAGCGAAGAAGGGCCCAAGAGCCCATATTGTCTAGAATACAATTTGTCAATCAACCTGATATCCTGCTGGCGAAGATTTTACTTAGACGGAGGTGACCAACTTTGAGAGCTTCACCAAGATCGGCAAGCGGGACTTTCATCTGGTCGCGCCCGTTGATCACCAAGAGCACTGCGATTGCCTGTCAGTCTGTTCCCCCTCCTTGGCGTTGCCTTTGACTGATGCAGTCCGTCGACTCACCATGTATACAAGGAAGAGCCCAGGCGAGGTAGAAGATCAGCGCCGCCAAGGCCAACCAGTCTTCCTTGCCGACGCCATTGGAAATACGGGATGCAGCAAAGCGAAGGCCAGTGGCCAAGAGGGTGATTGGGGTGAGAGCAAGTATGACAACAAAGGCAGCCCCGTGGAGAGTACTATCGAATACGTGAAACCCCTCGAGAGGCGGTGGCTGAGTAGGGAGCGACATTGTTGCTGACGGGACCTTGAGACATCAGCCGCACCCGATTCGCACTTGCACCCAACTTGCTTGGGATTCTTCCTTTTTACATGAGTTTTTGGAAGAGGTCAAGAGTCGATGAGAGTAACAGGAGAGGCGACTACCCTTGCAGTTGCAGTACCTGCGTGCGTGGTGACATGGTGCATACATGATGCTTTCTCGGAAGTGCTTCCTGATCTCTACTTAATCTGCTTAATTAGTTAATTGTATTGACCACCCCCCCATAACCAATATCAATACTAGACCCGGGAGGATTCACACACCCGACTAGACTTGCGCCCCGGTGGATGATACCTACCTTTTTCAGGTGGGCGTGCAACCTCTACGGCAAGATGGGACTTTGGATTTCAAGGGATTCAGTCAGATGGCTCTACAGGGTGCAGCATCGAGGATGGGTTGCCCGAGCTTCTCATCCAACCTTTTCGCCGACCACTGCAACCCTTCTCTTTGTTGAAGAAATTAGCCCTATCGCTCAGATGAGTAGTAACATACGACACACCGGAGCAATGAAATCAGGGACCCAACTTTATGCCTTGCTCTTGAGCTTTCCGTCCATTTACGGTATACTGAATGCTATCATGTGCGCATTCAGTACATGTACCTTTTAGTCTTGCAAACATGAGAATTTGTGACAATAATTGCCATAACCCATGGCTACTGAGGCGGTCTCTGAGAACATTTTATCTATAGTGCATGGTAGGCAACATAAGGGTATAGGTTAGGTATATGAGTTTCGATTTTATTACCTTCTCAGGCACAGAAAGTTTAGCTGACTAAGCTATCCTGCGCACAGGTTAGATGACTCAGCAATAGTCGGGACCATGATAGTAAAGCCTCAACCTTGATTCTACCAAACAATGTAAAAAGAGAATAATAAGACTGAACACTAGCAGGCTATTATATAGGTAGGCAAAGTTGATAAAGCCGGGGTTTTAGTATAAATAGAAGCAGCAGCTATTAGCTATATTTATTATTATTATAATAAATAGAACCTAACTAACTTGTTTGAATTAGCTTAAGGCTATAACTATTAATTATATTTCTAAATTTTATAATAAATATATATAGACTAGATATCTTCCTTGAATATAATAATAGTATTATTAATAATAGAATAACCTAGATCTAATTTTCTCTTAACTAATAGCTAATTATTTAAAAATCTAGTAATTAATAACTATTAATATATAGAGTAACTTACTTTTATATAAATTTATAAAACTGGAAGCTATATTTAACCTGAAGGGGCAAGATAATACCTTCTCTTTTCTATCTTTGCTTAAATATAGGGTAGTAGCTTCAGCTTAGGTATAGGTTAGACACGTGCAAAGAATGATACCTAAGACTGGATGATAATTTTCCTTCAACTTCAAGACGGACAGGCAACGTGACAAGAAAGGCGGTCAAACATATCAATACGTATATATATGTATTCAAATAAGAGATGTATTCATTCATGACGGGAACATGGTAGAAGTGAAACTAAACAGCTCCAAGAAAACCTGGAGATCTAGCGGGCTTCAACGCCGGCCAACCCTACGGGCCAAGAGCCCAGCTGCTCTTCAGCTTGTCGTGCACAAATCCGGAAAGAGTAAGAAGGGTCTTTTGAGGGCTCACGATATCTAGGTAGGGCACATCCACTTTGAAAACATTGAAGAACCATCTGCGGAACTCGGCCGCGAGCATGCTGTCCACCCCGAACGAGGGCAGCGGTTTGTTTTCGTCGACCTGGTCCGACAAGATCAAGTTGCTGAAGCGCTTCTTGACGAGACCAAGGACAGCCTGCATCATCGAATCTGCGTCCATCTCGGTGGCAAACATGGCCACGGCGTCGGCAGGTAGGTCCCTGGCCCATCCGGAAACCATGGCAAGGTTTGCTGCATCTGGCTTCTGGCTTAGTTGACGGGCGTCGCTCTCGGCCAAGAGAGATGCTGCCAAGAGAGAGGCACGGGTCTCGTCCATGACGCCGCCGCTCACGTCGAAGCCCCGCGACATGAGCTTGCGCACACTCAATGGCTCTAGCCCGGTAAGAAGGTGTGCTGCTTCGTCGGGTAGGGATGAACCACTCAGGAAGTCTGCTTCACCGCCGGGACCGCTCAGGCCATAGTCGACAATTTGGAGAAGCTCGTCCTCGCCCAAAGGCTGTATCCCTTTTCGGAGGAGCATTGCCTCAATCTCTGGGTTTTCGTGGAGGTAGCCGACCTCTGAGATCATGCCCAAGCCCAGCGAGACGCCGGGTTTCCCCTGCGACCTCCGCCAGCGGGCAAACGAGTCCAGGAAGCCATTGGCGGAACAATAGTTGCTTTCTGTAGCGGTACCGAGACTGCCCGAGATGGAAGAGGTCATCAGGAAGAAATCCAGCTGCGCGTCGCGGCCCATCAATTCGTTGTGTAGGTTCCATGTGCCCTTCCACTTGGGCTGGATCCCGGTATGCCAGGCTTCATTGGACATGCTTGTGAAGAGAGCCTCCTTCAAGCCCATGGCCGCCTGGACGACGCCGCCAATGGGCCCCAGAGCGAGACAGGCCGACACGGCTTCACGGACATGAATGGCGTCGGCTACATCCCCGCGGACGACGGACACTTGGGTATTTGTATTCCGCAAATTAGCAACCAACTGTGCCGCCGCCGGCTTGTCACATCCAGATCGGCCCATGAAGACAAACTTGCGGGCCCCCCTGGCCATCATCCAGCGACTCAGGCTGCGTCCCAGGCCACCAAGGCAACCGACCAGTAGATACGACCTGTCGGGGTCGAGGACAGTCGAGTATTTGGCTGGCATCATCTGTGCTCTTGATTAGTAAACGTTTGGAACATAATGGTTGGCTTTGGCTTACTGGGACCCGGCTTTCAGGATTCTCCATGGATACAACCACCTTCCCGACCCGGTCCTTGTTGTTGAAGTAGTGGTATGCCTGCTCCATGTTGGACACATCAAACGATGTGATGGGCGGGGTTTGAATCTTGCCTGAGCGGTACAGTTTGACCACTTCATCGGCAAGGCTGATTCAGTTTTGCAATAGTTAGCAGCACGACCTTGGACCTAGCATCCATAAAATAGACACAGAACAGAACATACCTGTCCCAAACATTACGGTGCAAGGGGTTTTCAGCATAGAAGTAGTCGGTGAGATCAAAGGCTGAAAAGGAAGCCCCCCTCAAGAAGACACTCATGTCCAGTTTACCGGCGTCGACGAGTTCCCGCTTTCCGATTTCGATGAAGCGGCCAAACGGTGCCAGGCAACCCCAGCTCTCATGCATTAGATCACCCACCAGAGAGTTGATTACCACGTCTACGCCGTTGCCGGTAGCCGCTTTGATGTGCTCCACAAAGGAGGAATCGCGCGAGTTGAAGATGTGGTCTGCTGGAACCCCGACGTCGGATATGAGGAACTTACGCTTGGCCGGGGACCCGCAGGTCGTATAAACAACTGCCCCCATGGAGCGAGCCATGGTGATGGCCGCAAAGCCAAAGGCTCCCGCCCCGGCGTGGATCAGGACCGCCTCGCCGGGACGCACGTTGGCGCGGTCGCGAAGGGCGTGGAGCGCGGTGGCGTATATGGTCATCAGCGCCGGCAGAGTTGTAAACCGCTCCGTCGGCAACATCTTGTGTACCGAGCCCACAGGAACACGCTCCGTGGTCTTGAAGTGGTTCGGGGCGAATGCAACTACGCGGTCGCCGGGCTGGATGTGCGTGACGTCTGGCCCGACGGCCGACACGACGCCACCAAAGTCCAGTGCCGTGGTGGCGTTTTTGGTTTCGACACGGCCGTTCATGACGTAGATGTCCTTTGCATTGAGGCTGACGGCCCTCAAGTCGACGTCGACATGACCCGCTGGTGGTCTGGTGGACGGTTGAGAGACCTGCTGGAAATGCATTGTGTCGATCATGCCGATCTGCCCGATGGACAAGCTGGCTGGGCCGAGTTTACCAAAGGGAACTATCTTCATCTGCTCCGACTCCTCCATGCGCTGCCGGAACAAGGAGTTGACCTCCATATCGGGGACAAAGCGGCTGATGAAGAGCATCTTCTCCTTCTCAATGAACTCGGTGTCATCAACCGCTGCTCTGGAAACCGCAACTTCGACAACGTTCTCGCAAGTTGTCAAGGCATCTTGGGGTCTGGCAAGATCTGCTTCTCCACAATCGAGAAGGGCAAATCTCAGCGAGGGCTGCTCTAGCATTAGGGCACGCGAGAGACCGCAGGATAGGGTGAGGTCTGGGTTTGGACTCCCAAGCATATCGGCGCCCGTAAGCCATATCAGGCTAGTGACGACATTCGTCATCTTGCGAAGACGATTCATGTCCTCTGGTTTGAGAGTCGCTAGAAGTTCTTGCTCGAGTTCAAGGAGGGAAACGCAAACAGTCTCCTCTGAAACCTCAATGTTGTCGAGAGCGTGAAGAGATGCGATGACCACCTTTTCAACGTCGGCATGTCTTTCCAGATGGGTTCGTAGCAGAGCTGCAAAGCCATCAATGATAGTAGACGACTCATTTGGTTTCTAGTCAGGGTTAGGATCTTGGTCAAGAGTGATGAAGCAAAAAGGGATTGACAGACGATGATGAGTGATGTTTTGCCATGAATTGGCTTCGGCCGTTGGGCCGGAATCGCAAGAAGCACATTGTGCTGAAGCTTCACGACCCTGAATCCCGCAGAGGCCAACGAAGAGACAGCTCCATCAGAGGTTCTGGTAATGACAAGGCCCTGCTCAGCAAGCAGTGATGTTACCTTCTCTGGAACTCGGGTCCAAAACCTTTTGGAAGTAGAATGCTGTGGTTTACCGAAACCGTTAGCGAGGGCTTGTGTCATTTCCAAGCACAGGAGAAGGACTTACGCGGGAAATAACAACGACATCAAAGGGCTTCTTACCCTCCGCCTTGTTGATGAATGAGATCTCGTTGTTCTCATCAAGGTTGCCACCATTCCAGGATTGGCAACGCGGGTAGGCCGTGTCCTTGTACAGCATCTTCAGGAACGTTTTTTCTGTGCAGTCGCACCCGGCCCCCAGCTCCAACACGCGCATACGTGGGTTTTTGTGGCCGGCCAGGTCGAGCAGAGCCCCCAGAACAACGCTGGATGGGTTGTCATGCATGTCTGCCGGCTGTAAATCTGCGAATGCATTGATATATGCCTGGAGCTGGGCCTGGGCGCCAGGGCGCAGTCGAAGAATGTCGGGCTTCCATAGCACACGGAGCGTAGGTTGTCGTTTCAGGAACTGATTCAAGATGGGCTGGACAGGCGCCTTGCCGGTGTACAGCGAGAGATGGAGGCCTCTGATATTAACTACCGGCGTGCCGTCTGGCTGCCGGAGAGTACAGTCCACGTTTCGAGTGCCGAACCCCGTCTTTCCCACCCGCGAATGGATGCTGCAGTCCTTACTGGGCTGATCAGGGGAGAGGCGTCGTGGGACCCGGATCACGCACTCCTCAATGAAGGTAGGAACAAATGCTCGGAGCGTGCTCAGCTCTCCCGCTGTGCCGCCCATGATTGCAGCTTGGAAGCAGGCATCCAGTGTGATTGGATGAATAGCATAGAAAGTCCCGCCGTCCTTGGTGCATGGAGGCTCGCGCTGTGTGGTGGCAATAGAGTCCACCCGCACCCGGCCGGCGTCGGTATGGAGGCCAGTCAATGACTTGAAATGGGGCCCGAAATCGAGACCTTCCTCTCTGCACTTCTTGTACCAGCGATCCATGGACCAGAGTTCAAAGCCCTGGGTATCAGTGACCAGGGTGCCTCCTTGACCAGGCATCATGGATGGCGAATCCAGTGTACGTATGCTGCCCGTGCAATGTAGTGAGGTTTCTCCATCTTGCCAAGACGACACAGAAAAGTCGTACCAGTAAGCCGACGAGTTTACATTTGAGAGCTTGCGCCGAGACATGGTTGTGTGTAGCTCCGTGTCCTTGCGCTCAGCGTCGCCTTCTTCTTGAATGCTCAGGGGCGCACTTATGCTAATGTTGCGGCACTCGAATGACGCCGAGTCGCCATTCTCGAGCCTCTCCTTCAACGACTCAATCTGCGAGATTGCCTCGATGGCCAGAGCAACGTAGGCTGATCCCGGGAGAACAATGGTCGACTCGAGCTTGTGATCCTTCAACCACGGCATCTCGGAGACTCGGAAGATGTTGCGCCAGTTCCAATCGATTCCATTCTCCACGAGCTTCCGGGTACCCAGAAGTTCATGTCGAAGATATTTCCGGTTGCGAGTCTCAACGCTTGCCCGTGGCTCGTGCCACAGCGATGGCTTGGAATAGTCCCAGGGGTATGGTGGTAGGTCTAGCAAGGGGGGCGAGCATGTCATAGGGAGATTGTTGACAGAGAGCCAGTTGACAGAATGTCCGTGAACATGGAGCGTTCCTGCCATCTTCTTGAGCGCCCGATTTGCGTCTTCTTTCCTGACCAGTGTGGGGGTATACGGGATCACGTCCTGGCCCAGTTCGAGGCTGCTCCGAATTTGTTGGATGGGACCCTTGAGTGCAGCGTGCGGCCCAACCTCGACGACATGGTATCTTTGACTTGTAATGATTCTTTGAAGTGCGTCGTTGAATTGAACTGGCAGTTCCAGGTTGCGTCTAAAATAGGCAGACATATCGGTGTTGCCGTCAACATTCTGAATCTCCTCGGGCAGAATGCCGACTGAGGAGAAGAACGGGACCTTATCAGCATCACATCTTTCTTCAAGGTATGGAGAAATCAGCCGTTCATAAAGTTCACCAATCTCAACCATCATTTGCGAGTGATAGGCGCGCCCCCCAGTCTCCAGCTTACGATGAAACTTGCCAATCCTTTGTAACTCGTCCTCGAGGGCTTGAATATCGCTCGCGGATCCACTGAGTGTGATGCTTGAGGGCGAATTGATGCAGCCGACGCGAACTTGCATCAAGCCTTTCTCCTGAATCATGCATCTGGCATCCTCGGCACTGATTCCGGCCGCCATCATTGTGCCTCGAGCTTGCAGCTGGCCAACTGCGAGCCCTCGAAAGTAGGCGGCCAAGATGGCCTGGGACGCCGTCAAAAGCCCTGCCGCATACGAGGCAGCAATCTCACCAGAGGAGTGGCCGACAACTGCCGAGGGGCTGATCCCCCAGTCGCGCAGGACATCCACGAGAGCGACCTGTATAGCTGTGCATAGCGGCTGACTGTGGGTTGCAAGATTTATTTGGCTTGCAGAAGAACTCAGAAGCATCTTTTCAATCGTCCAGCTGGGAGCATGCTCCTTGGGCAACGACTGAAGGACTTGGTCAAGTTGGCGGATACTGGCAAGAAAGATCGGGTTCTGTTTGAGGAGCTCCTTGGCCATGCTGGCGTACTGCGCGCCCTGTCCTGTGAAGACGAAAGCCAAGGGCAGAGCGCGAGCGTTCTGTGGCACTGCGTCCGCTTCCACTCCCCCCTCCAGAATAACCGGTTTGGTACCTGTATTGGCAACGACGAAGTCCCGGAGCTGCAGCTTGGAGTCTCTTGTCACACAGGTCATGGCCAGGTCCCGCATCATGTCGTTGCCAGATGATTGGACCAAATGAGATATCTGCATGCGCCGCCTCGACAAGGACCAAGAAGATGCAGCGGAAAATGGGATAACAAACAGCGACTCTTCCGGAGCATCGCAGGCTTTGGCAGATAGAGGCTTGGACATGGTGCTTGATGATCGATTCAAGTAACTATCGACTGACTCAAGAATGACGTGGCCGTTGGCACCGCCGTAGCCAAATGAGTTGACACTTGCTCGGCGCATTGCTCGTGGCCATTCCTCTGGCTCGTTCAATACTTGCATATTACGCGCCGCAAGTTTCACTACCAAGGCGTTGTTAGCAAGATGCTCTCATCGAGGAGCTGGTAGAGAAACACCTACGCTTGGGATTCAAATTCTTGACGCCGTACGTCGGGGGGATGAGGCCGTGCTCAAAAGCCAGGGCAACTTTCATTATCGACGTCAAACCGCTGGCAGCCTCTGAATGTCCAAGATTGGTTTTCACCTAGATTTGTTAGAACTGTCTATCCAGAGATATAGCAAGATGGACAAACCGAGCCAATCATTAGTGGTTTCCCTGGACGAGGAGAAAAGCATTGTGCAATGCCGTCAACCTCGATTGGGTCACCTACAGGAGTGCCTGTGCCATGGCACTCAACGTAATCGGTTTCGGCTGGATCAAGGCCGGCATTTTCATACGCCTTCCTGATAACCGCTGCTTGGTGCGTGGCATTTGGTAATGTAATACCAGGGGTTCGCCCATTGCTGCAATGTACCTTGTTAAAAAGCTATAACTCATTGTAGAGATAACACGATAAAGGGGCTAAGAGCAGGTTTTTGCAAAGGAATATCAACATACGCGTTTATGGCCGTTCCTCGAATGACAGCGCGAGCCTTCTGTCCCATGCTCACAGCCGAGGACAGTCGCTTGATATATATTGCGTTGATGGCCTCGGCGCGGGCATAACCATCAGCTGACGCATCAAACGTGTGGCAGGCAGACGTTGGTGAAAGAAAGCCTCCTTTCATAGTGCCGATGTGCTGCTCAGGAGACATTATGAGATTTACGCCGGCAACTATGGCCCCGTCACAATCGCCATTGTTTATTGCCAGCACAGCCTGGTGCAAGGCATAGATGGTGGATGAGCAGGCAGTATCCAAGGTCATGCTGGTTGAACGCGTTAGCCACTGCTGGTGGGACGAACTGGCAACCTCAAGAGGCATCAGGAAATGGCGGTCTTACCTAGGGCCGTGGAGGTTGAAGACGTGGCTAATACGATTCGACATGATGGAAGTACCACCTCCTGTTGCAGCATACCGATGCACGTAATCAGTCTCTTTGGACTGCATGGCTGCATGGTCTACTGTGAAGTTGCCGACAAACACCCCAGTGTTGGACTCGGAAACATCTTGCATGGAGAGGCCTGCATTTTCGAAGCATTCATACACAACCTCGAGGAGTTTCTGTTGCTGAGGGTCCATGTGTCTGGCCTCTAGGTTGTTGATGCCGAAGAAGGCGTTGTCAAACTGGCGAACATTTTCTTTGAGGAAATAGCCTCCGCTGACATTGATGGACCCCGACCTGTTCCCATCTGGGTGGTAGAAGCCATCGATGTTGAAGCGCTCAGCAGGGACTGAACACTGCGCCGACTGTTTGTTGTAAAGGAGGTCCCATAGATCTGATGGTGAGGACACACCGCCAGGGAGATGGCACGCTGCAATGCACACATCTGGTCAGGGCTATAGTTCACAACAAGGAGCAAGATGAGATTAACTAACCCATTCCCACAATGCACACGGCATCTTGGTCAGTGTCCTGAGAGGATTCGGAACTCTCGGTTAATTGTCCAAGGCATGTAGTCTCGACCAGGATCTCTGCCTCCTTGTGAGCCAAAGGTAAAGGCCCATAAGGCTCTGAAGCAGCTACAGCCTCTAGGATAGACATTGTGAGCTACTCTATGCAAGATATTTGCTTTCTTTTTTTGCTATACAACAGGGGAAGAAAAGGCATAGGATAGCGCGTCTATTATGAATATGGGAGCGGAAAGCTCCAATGATTAAGATGCTGAAAATGAGAAGCTCGACAAACACGCCTGCCAAGGAACTCGTGCCTAAGCAGTCTTCTACCTGGTACACCAGCAAATAGAACCGGAAAGGATAAGCAATACATTTGTTCTTTGTTGGAATCAGACCCTCGTTTGTCGACTTGGTCTAGATTTCCGCCCCTCAGAGTACCTTTGATCAGATCCTTCGAGACTAAATGCAGTTTTTGCGTCCTTACATCGCTTCACGACTCATTAGTTCACACCATGGTATTAGAAGACTCGCTAGGGGCCTTTTGAGGCGGGCGAATAGAAACTAGCCCAGGCAGCCTTGACAACCAACAAGGACGTGGCTCAAGCGAATCAGATCAAGCCATGGGATCAACGCCTCGGTCTGACAAAAGGAAGTAAAACCTCTCTCATTGCCCTAATTCACTAACGCTTCGAACATCAAACACCATGGGGTAGACTTGCAATGAACTGCAGAGTTGCAATGTTCCTCAGTTCCAAGACCAAGCCGCCAACCTACTCATTGTAACGTCGCAGAACTGCATATGCAGGGGAATTAATTTATGTCTCATCCATCACCAGAAGAAGAAGGGTCCGATTCAGGGCTCGGGACCTTGGAAAGGATGCAAAGTTTCCTGCTCGGGCCATATGCATGATTTGGGATTTTGGAGGGTCTCGACCGAAGAGAATTCACAACATGGCAGCCTCGTACATCTGTCATAAATCTTACCTACATAACGCAGTGCAACCTCAACAGCCTCAAACAGGATGAATATTGGCACAGCCTGCTTAGAAGATCCCCCAATCTGACATTGCATCCGTAAATGTTCCCTATCGTGAGCCTGATTCTTGGGACCAATCTTAGTGATTTCCAATACAACGACGCCCTAGCTCACGTAAGGGGTGCTTCCATCATCTGCCCAGGCTTTCGAGGCTCACATTGAAGGATTTGAGCCTTGATGCAATGATTGAACAGCTGCCCTGCAGTACTTTATCGAGAGCTGTCCATAAAACAGGCACTTCCGGATAGTCTTCATCCAAGAGGATGTCCCACCAGTCCATTCAAACCACTTCTATCTAGCCCCTCTGTTTTTCACTATCATGGCTACAGAGCAGTCAGCTACGCAGCAAAACGCTGAGGAGAGCCCTTTGCTCCTCGTTAGCGCTGGATACATCAACACCGAGTGGCCAGCGCCTGGCCTGCGTCGAAACGTGCGGCACATCACCGGCCACAACGAAGATGGCAAGGCAGTCTTCCTCGCCACGGACTGTGGCGACCATCACACCATGATAGGCAACCAGCAGGCTCTTGCCAACATTATCTACTCTACCAAGGAGACCCCTGTCGACCTCGGCGGAGACGCCGACCTAAAGTACGCCAAGGAGAACATTGTGAGAAGAATCCTTCCTACCACAGGCTCTCTGAGAACCTCATTCACTAACATTATCCTCCCATTGCTCCAGCCCCCCCTGCACTACCACAACGGGTCAGTCGTCCGCATGATCGACTTTGCTCCTAACGTGGTATCGCCCATGCACCGCGCCGTCTCGCTCGACTACGGAATTGTCGTCGAGGGTGAGTTCAAGTTGATTCTGGACTCGGGTGAGGAGAAGGTGATGCGTCAGGGCGACGTGAGCGTGCAGCGCGCGACAGCACACCAGTGGCACAATATTACTGCCAATGGAACAGCGCCAGGACGCATGATGTGGGTTCTGCTCGACTGCAAGCCGGTCGAGATCAAGGGTAAAAAGCTCGAGGAGTATTTGGGAGAGCTTACCCCGTACTACCAGGATCGCTGAGGTACGAGGGCCGTGTACATGTGCATGGTGCAATTATTGATGGCAACCAGAGAGGACCCCGACGTTTCTAGGCGCTGATCAATATCGTCTGGGATGGGATAGGATAGTTCGTATACTAAGCCGTTTAGAGAAATATGTTTCCTTCCTCGGTGCCTATATGAAAAGCCCCTTGGCAATGATATCTTGACACAAGGTAGGTACCCAACAAGTAGTTTTCTGCACAACCTCCATCCACCGGCGTCTACTTTGACACACACCCTACAGTGCTAATTCGAGCCACGGGTCCCCTGTCTTGTGTTCTGGTATCGGGCCGTCGGCGACTTCCAGATCGACCGCGCCGTTTACCCAGATGGGGACAGATCCTGTCAGACAGATACACTCACACCCTCCCCACCACCCATCAGATACCCGACCAGTGCAACCATTGAGCGGCTGGCTGTACAGTGGCTTATCCGAAATCTGGCAATGTTTTCGTGTTTTCGCTTATTGCACCGAAGAGTCGGATTCAGGAGTTTGGAAAACGATAAGAGTCTTACCTTGACAATGGCCCTTCAAGGTTCAACCACCAGCCTAGCGGACAGTGTGCTTACAATTCATTTACCGTGCCCACAATTCATTGTTGCCGAAACCCGGTCTCTGTAGTTGTATCCATTCTATCCGCGACACTACCGACCACCATGTCCAAGGTATGGATGGTATTGAGCCTTCTCATGGCAACATTGGTGCTGTGGCAGATTAGCAGAATTGGGCGGCGGCCAAGAGGGTATCCACCAGGACCACCGACTCTCCCCATCATCGGAAACCTCCATCAGATGCCTCCGCATCGAATCCATCTCCAGTTTCAAAAGTGGGCAGACGAGTATGGACCCGTCTACTCGCTCATTCTAGGAACTAAGGTGATGATTGTTCTGTCGTCTGATCAGGCCGTCAGGGATCTATTGGATAGAAGAAGTACTATATATTCGTCAAGGCCAGAGTTTTATATGGGACAGCAAATTATGAGTGGAGGTCTCCGCGTTCTGATGATGGTACATGCTCATATTCATCGCTGCTTTTTTTTCAAGAGGAGGCTGATCCATTATACAAGGCAAACAACGAGACCTGGCGTAAAATCCGCAAGCTGGCCCACAGCCTACTCAATATCACGGTGGCCAGGAAATATGTGCCCTATCAAGACTTGGAAAGCAAAGCTTTGTTGATGGGTCTTCTAGAGGACCCCGGCGACTTCTTCAACCATATCCGACGCTACTCAACCTCTCTCACTCTTCAAATGGCGTTTGGCAGCCGTACTCCAACAAGGAACGATCAAAACTTGTTAGAAATGTTTCAAGTAAGTTCTCGCTACCTCACGAGATCATGGCTCACACCCTGTCCAAGATATTCGAGAAGTTCTCCGAAATCAGTCTCTCTCCTGTAAGTAATCCATATCTTTTTTTTCCAACCCCACCTCCTTTTTTTTCACCGTGGTTTTCCTAACGTCATCTCTTCCAAGGCCGCTGCTCTTCTTGATGTCTTTCCCATTTTGAGGTCTCTTCCTGATATATTACTGCCTGTCAGAGCTCTGGGGAAGGAACTTCATGAACGAGAGATGAAACTTTTCAAATCATTCTTCAATAATACCCGACAGAAGCTAAAAGACGGTACACAAAAGGCATGCCTACCCACACCTTCGGCCCTGGACTGCAACTAATCAAGCTTTAGCCCTGTGCCTGCATCGACTTGCTTCGCCTCCAGGACAAGGAAGACTTCTCCGATGATCTCACTTGCTACACCAGCGGCAGTTTCCTTCAAGCTGGTTCCGAAACCACAGCCAATGTGTTGATGGGGTTCACCCAAGCCATGGTCGTCTTTCCCGAGGTAGCCAGGCAAGCCCAGGCGGAAATCGACCAGGTCTGTGGAAACCGCCTGCCTGATTTGAACGACGTGCCGGATCTTCCATACATCCGCTCTTGTATCAAAGAGAGCCTACGTTGGATGCCCGTGGCGCCATTGGCCGTTCCTCATGCTGTCACACGGGACGACTATTATCAGGGTTACCTGATACCCCAGGGTGCGGAAGTGGTACTTAATGTTTGGTAAGCGCTTGGAACAGCCCTTGCTGAAATTAGACTTTCGACGCTGTGATAAATAAGACCCATTTGGCTAACTACCATCTATCTACAAGGGCGATTTCACAAGACCCTCGGCGGCATCTTGACCCGCGAGTCTTCAACCCCGGCCGCTGGGCTGGGAATAATGAAAACTCGATGGACTCGGCTGCCAGCGCCGATATCGCCAAGCGTGACCATTTCATCTTTGGGGCGGGTCGGCGGATCTGCCAAGGAATGCACATTGCTGACCGGTCCCTCTTCTTGGCGATATCACGTACGCTCTGGGCCTTTGACTTCAAGCGAGTAGTGGACCCGGAGGCGAAGCAGGAACTGGTTCCAGACACGGACGATTTAGTTGATGGGATGTTCATACGCCCCAATTCGTTCAAGGCCGATATTGTCCCCAGAAATGAGGCTAGGGCATCTCAGGTCAGGGAGGAGTGGGCCAAAGCAACGGAACTACTAGACGAAAACATGCAATGGAAGATAGTGCCGGAGGGATTGATCTGGAAAGACTACGAAGCTGTGGAAAATTCAGGGTAGTTTTCATTAATACTGCCCCAGGTGACTGAAGGGAGCTTATTAGGGTGCGGCACCATTGAGTAAACCCATACTGCTCACTGTATATTATATTACTGTATAGTCTATTACCATTTTAAGGGCTAATAAGCATTACAGCGATATCCTAAAAGATATATAATACTTAAACTTACTCTTAAGCCAGAGCAAACCCATACGATCTATTTCCTATAGATTTATCTCATTTTGAGGCGGTGATAATAGAGTTACACCTAACCAATAAATAGGAACAGTCAAGTACAAGTATCTTCTTATTCCAAGGGACAGGGAATCATGGCAGCATACACTATTATTTGATGCCGCGGCCCCTTCTCCGCCACTAGTAGCCTCTGATCAGCCCGTTGTTGTACCTAAAAACATTGTCTGGGTCCCAGGTCCTCTTCAAATCCACCAGACGTGGTAGTTTATCTGCCCCATAGACGCTTTCGAGAGGCTCATCGCCACGGGCGTAATTGACGAAAACGGTGAGGCTATCATACCCAGAAGTAGCTGCAAGGTCGTTCCGCAGCTCAGGACCAAGAGACCTAGCGGCCGATTCGGTATTAGAGTCTCCCGGGCCCCATATGAACGTGGCATAGCTACGAGGAAAGCCACAAGATTAGCTGATTTCTTACGTCAAAGGGCGGGCCATCGGCATCGAGCGGTTGAACTTACATATAGCCTGTCGCGTCTCTCCAAGGAAACGCAGTTTCATCCAAAGGAACAGCCGCCATCGCCTGGTTCGGAAACAGCTCTATCCCGACGATGCTGTTTCGACCACCTGGGTGGTTCTCGTAAAAGTCTGCCATCTTGGTGAAAACCTGCTGAAATGTGGCCGCCGAGTAGTTCTTTAGGTTTACATTGTAGAGATCGCGGATGGTGTTGGGTTGGCAAATCAGCTGGTCAACCCCGCCTCCTGCTGTCGCAACAAGTCGATTCCACGGTACTTGAGACTGCGATACGGGTGTACTAAGAGCAAGTATAGGCTCGAGGAACTTCAGTCCCTCGTCCTCTGGCCCAAAGTATGTCCACCCAGAGATGAGTTGCGTCTGCCAGTAAAAGATTAGCTCCCTGAAGTTCGACACGGCCTCGGGTACTCACAATGTTGTACTCTGGATTGAACTGTATAATGTTCATGGCGGCCATATTGGCAGGGATTTTCCCGTTCAATGATTCAACAACCTCGAAGTAGGCTGGAACCTGGTCGGGGGTGAAGAAGAACTCGACGTTGAGGACATTGCCCTTGTTGGTCAATGGCCTGACACTGTACGTGGCAGAGGTGACGACGCCAAAGTTGGCGCCGGCGCCCCTGAAGGCCCAGAACAGATCCGGGTGGGAGTTTTTCGAAACTTCAACCTGGTCTCCGCTGGCAGTGATGACCCGAAGGGACACCATGGCGTCCAGAACCAGACCGTGTTGACCTTGTTGTCGTCCCACGCCACCTCCGAGGCTGAGGCCTATCAAACTGGGGCAGGAAGCAGTTCCGGTCTCTATTGTTTGTCAGAGAAAGCTTGAGAGGAATCCCATGCATCCAGGTACTCACGCAGCTCGAACCCAGCATCGTATAACGGGTCAAATATCTCGGCGATAGTGACGCCGGGGCCAACAGTAATTGTCTCGGCGGCTGAGTCTATCTCAACTGACGTTTGATGGCTCAGGTCGATTGCAAGGCCGCCCTTGAACGTCCCAGGAGTGATGGTATAGGCGTGACCAGCTCCCCGGACAAGGAATGGGATCCGATGCGACGTCATCAATTGCACCTTGGATAGGACCGGCTCAGTTACGCTGCAGACCTGACAGAGTGTTCAGCTACTTACCGCTTTGACGACATCTTCAGTGGTTCCTGGACTGATAGCTGCACTATAGGTAGGAGGACTAAACACAGTCCATCGCTCAGTAGCAAGCTGAAATTCATCGGAGCCAGGAAAGGACACAGTAGTGTTCGCAGCCCATTGTCGAGCAGGATCAGTCAGAAGACACCTAAGATCTTTGCGCCCACAAGGGGTTGCAGCTACCACAGAAACGCAAAGGAGCAGTGACCACCACAGGCGTGACATAGCGGAATACACGTTCGAGGATATGGTAAGAGAGTGTCACGACCCAGTAGATGGTGCCTTAGAAACTTGTAGCTACAGGCGGCAATCCCTGCTTCTGTTACTACCAAAAGAGTACGGTTCTGGCCAGTCATGTGTTTATGTATCTTACTGCGTCTGTTATTGGTGTGACATCTCTAGTTGGTAACTACTCAAGTCCAGATCAGGGAGTCGGCCCATTGTGATCCTGCTTGCCTGAAATATTCAATTGTCCTTTGTCTTTCATATCACATCAGAGACTACCCAGTGTCCGCATAGCCGAAAGTCACCACACATGTAAACACTACTTTTGGAGGATCAAATCCAATCCGCCACCCCTCCCTTGCTCCAAATCCCCTTACCCCTGCTACTACTCTACACCCCTCTTTTCGATGCGTGCGTATTTTGATATGTGGAATAAGTCCGTGCACCGTGAATACATATGGGGTTTTATCGGCCGATATGACCAAAAACATAGATCAATGTTACGTATACAGGGCTTTCGGAGTATTGAAGGATCCGCTCCCAACGTTCGCTTAAGCGCCCGATCGAAAGAACCATCCAGACCTGGACGACATGTGTACCCTGGTACTTGATAAGTTCTTACACGCCCCAGTCAGCTTTCACTTCAAGGTCGCATAAGGCTGCAGTGGAACCCTGATAGGCACCACGTCCTGTTTATAAGCGAGGTGTTGATATGTATACTCTTAATGAACTTTTTAATTATTTATATTACGTCATAAGTTATAAAATAATCTGCAGGATATTTTATTATCCTAAATGAAGAAATAGTATAAGTAAAATCTGGTCAAATCATCTACCGTCAACGCCTATGCAATTGAAAGGGCACTTAACCATCCTTTTTATTTACGCCTTACGTGTTTCGATAAATATTCAATACTGATAATGAATCTGTCTTTTGGAGCTTGAACCAGTATATACGTATCGACAATGACGGAGAGAAAGATGTATGCGTTGGTTACAGGGTAGGTCAACTCATATATGATGCGCTGCAAAGTTCCCCCGCTGACACTTGGATGAGATGCGGCGAGGGGGGCATTGGAGAAGCATTAGTGAAGGAGTACTCTCGTCGCGGACTCTATGCAATAGCCACCGTGTTGCCAACTGAAGCAAGTGATCATTTGACCGCGGCAGGTATAACTTGGTTTCCCTTGGACGTGACCAAGCAAGAATCAGTTCTTCAGTTGAAGGACAAGGTCGACGAGCTCACGGGGGGGTATCTCGACGTGCTCGTCAATAATGCGCAAGTGTCCCGACATGCAAAATAAGTATAATGGAATCTAACAGCCAATAGTGGCATTTGTAAACGCCCCCTAGGGTATACGAGATATGTTGCGCAGCGTTAACTCGCCCCAGGCTATACCATGCCAGCGATTGATTCCGACATTGATCAAGTTCAACTCATGTTTGATGTCAACGTCTTCGGCCCCATGAGAATGGTTCGCAACTACCATCCCATGGTCATCCGGGCTCATGGTATCATTGTGAACATTGGCTCCATCGGTGGTATCTCACCCTTTGTGTATGGCTGTCAGTTTCCCCCCCTCCAGCACACTCTGTCCATAAACAATGGTTGACATGGCCCCAGCTGCGTATAATGCGACCAAGGCGGCCGTCCAGCACTGGTCCAATACTTTGCGGGTTGAGATGTCCCCCTTCAGGCACGTCTGCTATTCACCCGAGGTCAATCAAGCTTGATTGCATCAGCTGACTATAGAATACCAATAGTGTGCGGGTTCTAACAGTAAGTACTAATGCCGTATCGTTGGTTGTTCGCTCCTGCACAAACTAGCTGAAAGACTCAATGGGATTGAATAGATCATCGCCGGGGAGATTGGCACCAATATCCTGAAAAGAGACAGGAGCAGAGAGCTCCCGGAAGGTCAGCCTCTTACGTTTGAACACCAAAAAGTTTTAATATCAGGAAGCTGCAGCTAATATCCCAATCTACAATTGCAGGATCCTATTTTTCGGCACTCTCAGAAGAGTTTAAAAGCCATGTCAACCGGGTCCCTGGTAAACCACAGATACTTGGAGCTCTTGATAACTTTCAAAGTAAGCTAACCGTAAGCAACTTAGAAACCACCGACCGTTTTGAGTATGCACGGGCAGTCGTCGGAGAGAGCTTGAAGAATTCGCCTACGTCGTGGTTTTGGTACGGGAGCTGGGCAAGATTCTTCCGGTTTCTCAACGCCTTCTTTCCTCGAACTATATTTGTATTTTACTTGGCCCCCTCTCGTCATGTATACTTTGTGTACTAAGACTGTAACAGGACAGGATCTTCTGGGGGATGTTCAAGCTGGACAAACTAAAGAAGGCGCACGAGCTTGGCAGCAAGGGTAAATAGTGGTGGTGGTTTGAGGATGGAGCAAGTATCCTATCATCGAACAATTCCATATCCAGCACCGAATGTGCCAATAATAAAACCGCGTCTTCTACGCATTAGTGCTGCATTGTCAACGTTGCACCTCCATCCATTATTATGCTTTCGCCCGTCATGTAGCTTGACCCCGGGCCAGCAAGAAACGTCACTATATCGGCCAATTCCTCCTTCAACGCTATACGGCCCATAGGCACGGAATTGGTGATGAGGTTGCGGAGTTCTGGGATCCCTTCCATAGCGGCTCGTACCATTGGCGTGTCCACCCACGTAGGGCAAACACAGTTAATTCGGATTCCGTGCTTGACGTTGTCCAGAGCTAGTTGGGCGCCGTTAGTCAGTTAGCAATCCAGTCCCCCTTTATCACTTTTGAACTTTGGGATTGCCCGTCGACTCAACCCAATGGCCGGGATGTAGCACGTGCGAAAGTAGAAAAAGGAAGCTTTGACTCACCGGCAGTCTTGGTCAAACCCAATACAGCATGTTTTGAGGTTACATACTGCGCAATACCCGGCTGAGCCACGTGCGAAGTTGCCGAAGCGATGTTGACTATAACGCCCCGGGTGACTCCTCTGCCCGGCGAGGCCTCGGAGACGCTTCTCGCTTCCTGCTCTTTCATAGCGGCTGAGACATGCTTTAGCGACAGGAACGTACCGGTGACGTTTACATGCAAAAAGCGAGTGAACTCTGCCGCTTCCATCTGCGAAATTTCCACAGCTCCTAGCGCACCGATCTATGATATTTCATGGTGAGCCACTATTGCGGAAAAAAAAAAAACCACCAACCCAAAAAAAAAAAAAACATATTGAATAGACATCGGGGTAAACTTTTAAAAAGGCCAAACGACTTACGCCAGCGGCAATAATACAGCAGTCTATCCGACCAAGTATCTGCTGGGCCTTGGAAACCGCTCGAGCAACGGACTCTTCGGCCGTGACATCGACCTCAATGGACTCGGCTTTAAATGCAGGATCTGTAGAGGCGGCTTTGCTCTCTGCTGCGACCCTCGAGGCGGCCTCGAGGTCGCAGTCAGCAACAACCATGCCCGTAACACCATGGCGTGCCAGGCCAAGGCAGCACGCTCCGCCTATTCCTCCTCCTGGGAGATTTGCCTTATTAGCCCAGGAAGGAGAGACTGGCACAAGACGCTTTGCACTCGAACTGAGACATACCTCCACCAATTATCAAGGCGTGACCCATGTTGCCAATGGCCATTGGCTATTTGATAGGCGAAGTCTGCCAAGAGATGAAAAGTGGCAAACAAAGATTGGCAAGTGTTGTCAAGACTTAACAATGTCTAGGTCTTGACTAGAAGAGAACAAAGGGTAAGGGCGGTAAAAAAGCAAATTTTACATGAGCTGACTTGTAATTGCAGCTGCTTCTCAGTTTTAAATACTTGGAATAAATGTTTTCTAAAAATAGTCGTGCTTAGTTTATTACTTAGTACCTATAATATATTAGATTTTAATATAGAAAATATATATAAATTCTTTCTTCATAAGTAATATTCTTAAGTTTAGCAAATTAAACATTTAATAGTTTATTAAGAGTTGATTAACTCTTTAGTTAGAACGTTAGAACGTAGTTATTAACTAACTGGTTATCTGCTATAACTAAAGACATCAGCATAGAAGCATACCTAGGTCGGTCAAATATAAGAAGTGGCAGGATCTTATCTAAGCCCACCTCGTATGCGCCGTAGGCATGCAGCTCTGGGTGTGCCATTAAGATGATACCGGGTACCCTACCAGTAGGAGTCTCGCCCTGCTACCGTGGTATCAATTTCGCGGTTTGGCCGCCCGGGCTAATATCGATGCAGTGCAACCCTCGAAAACTGGGTGAGCGCCCCCCCAGCAAGTTGCCAATATATCACCGAGGCGCAGCTCACTAAATATGCAGGTCTTAATCAAGAATGTGAAAGATAACACCCAAAGCCATGCTCTTCATCCTCGGTTACAAATATGCTAGAATGGTTACATTTGCTTATATGACAAAAGGACCGAGTAACCCAACAATGTTGCAGTCACATAGGTTGCACTAATTGTGAATCGTATATATTAATATTGCCTATCTGGATCGTCATCCTCGTAAATTCGCCAATCGGATCAGGAGACTTGACCAGGGCTGTCCTGTGCACGTTCTAGGCTTTTAATGATCCTGGACGCTTCTGCAAAATTGAATTCCTCCATAGTCTCCTGCCATAGTTTCAATTGAATTTCCCGTCCCTCGGGAGTATACCACAGCTTCGGATAACTGTACTCGTATTAGCCTTATATGCCTACTCGGCTCTAGTTTGTGGAAACGGAAGTCACTCACGGCTTGATGGTCCATTCACTAATAAAGGAGCCGTGACTTGGCTTGCCTTGCACTAAAATTGCATCAAGATATGTTCCGGCAGCAACATCCACCTTTCTTGCGAGGACGAACTGGGCGATGCCCATTGTCATATTGTAAAATATAGATTTCTCGCGGAAGAAAGCGGTTTGCCTCGTCATGCCAGGATTGACGAGGTTGACCACAACCTCGTTCGGATCAACATGCTTCGCAAGCTCTGAAACAAAAAAGGCCTGGAGGAGCTTTGACCTGCTGTACCATGGGAATGAGGAAAAGCCGTGTGGCCTATTGAATTCTTGTAGAATAGATCCAGTACTGTTCATGTCGGTTTGGTATATCATGTCTGATCCGACAAAACTCAAGACGGGAGGTTTGGGCGCGCCCACCCTCTTCTTCGATCTCAAGATTGGGAGCAAAAGGATTCCTAGAAGTGCCGTGGAAAGGTAATTCACCTGCAATGTGACTTCGTGATCCGTGGCAGGAACGGTAGCATAACTAGATTTGAAGAGCCCAGCGTTCAATATTGCAAAGTCGATCCGTGGAAGAGCTGCACACTTGTCTGTGAAGGTGTGGATGGAGGCATACGATTCCAAATCGACGGCCCAGACAGTTATGCTGGCAGACGGGAATTCCTTTTGCAGCTTCTCCGCAGCGTCATGCCCTCTAGCTTCAGTGCGTACACCCAATATGAGATGAGAAAGCTGTAGTTTAAGTAGCTGCCTACAGGCAGACAATCCAAGGCCGACATTGCTACCGGTGACAATTGCGGTGTGGTCTGTCAAGTTGATACCTTGTGGCAATGGTTTGGCTGATGTGAACTGCCGCCTTAAAAATCCAAGGAAAGTTCCTTCAAAGGCGGCCTCGCTTTCAAGCTCAGATGGCATGGTCGCTTTGATGAGCAGCGGCACTGAGGAGAGTGGAAGGATGTTCAAAGTCGAGGTGGTTTGTTGGTGGGAAGAAAATATAGCACACTACGCCTAAATTGACCGACTGTGATATAATATAGCAACGAGCAAATATCTCAAGGCTTGGTTATTATAGTAATTTTTTTTAATATTAGGCTATTATATATTAAAACAGGGACTACTTATTATAATACTAATATCAAAGAGAGAAAATTAATAGTTAAATTAAGTTTATTATATTTAATAATTATAATAATTATTTTTTTTAAATTTAATTAAATTAAGCTAGAATATATTTAATTAATTAATTAGAATTAAAAAATTAATTTTAAAAATAAAGTTTATAATATTAATTATAAATTTATAGTTTTAGAATTATTATTAAAATAGATAGGAAATAATAAAAAAAAAATTCTAAATATTATAAAGGAATTAATTAATTCAGATAAAGATAGATAAAAAAAATAAAAGTAGCCCGCTTACTTATAGATTATATTACTAGTAATCGTACCTCTACTATATAGCTCACTAATCTAATCTATAAACTGTATTCCTCCTTAAGTCTTCTTGGTACTGGTAGCAGTCTTTCGCAATCCGTTATAACATGGACCACCTATTTGGTAACAACGGGGTTATAGAAACGGAAGCGATTCTTTGGGTCGTATTTAGCCTTGAGCGCACGAAGCGTCGCCAGACGCCATGGCTCATATCCATAGAGGGCCTCCAGAGGCTCATCGCCAATGGCGTAGTTGAGGTATGCCGTCGGCTTGCGGCTTGGCTGCCCAGCGTTCCAGCGGTCTCTAACATTGTTTGCCCACTCCTGAGCCGGGACTTCCAGGCCAGGCCTGAAGACGGTCGAGAAAAACCTGGGTGACTGGTCAGTCTTGAGTGGATCTAGAAGGTATGCGGGATTGACACGTACACGACATGATTGTCATCGCGCTGGGCGTAGGCAGTAGAGGCAGGGTTGACCTCTTTGGCCGCCTTATTCGCGTAGCCCTCGTAGTAGAGGCGAGAGCCAAGCGCAAACTCGGGGTACTCGGCGATCTTTTTATTGTACTCGATGTAGTTTTGGCGCTCCACGGTTGCATTGTAAACCGCAAGGCCGGCGACCGAGCCCTTCAAAGGGGATGATAGGCAGGAGTCGCTAGAGACGTCGGTTCCTTGAATGGCAAGGAGGGACGGGTATGGAACATCACCCGACTCCTCGCTGATGGCTCCGATGGCATTGAACGGCTGCAGAAGGGCTTCAGCGTCCGCTGCAGGGCCACTGTATGCAAAGGTCCAGAAAATGACGGCCTGCTAGGTTTTAGACAGTAATCAACAATGACTCTTGGTGAGAAGAAGCGACCAACCTCGGTTTTACTGATTGCTGGAATGATAGACACCTGGCCAAAGTTGACAGCCATCAGCGGAGGAGTGTTGCCGTTGTCGTGGAAGCGGTTGAGCGTCTCAAAGACTGTCTCGAGCTTGTCCTGGGCCCAAATGTAATTATGGAAGTGCCACGTGTCAGGCCCGCGGGGGAAGATGGCCACCTCGGCGCTGGTCACGATGCCAAAGTTGTGGCCAGCGCCCTTGAGGGCCCAGAAGAGATCCTGATTGGACGTTTTACTGACTTTGATGGCCTTGCCATCAGCCAAGACGACATTAAAGGTGAGGATATTGTCGGCAATCAGGCCGCGGGTTCCCTCCAGGCGGCCATGACCGCCACCCAGACCAGGGCCGAAGAAACCAACGCAACCGTGGCTACCAGTCACTTGGGAGCTCAGCATGTTAGTCCAATCTGCTTCCTTGGGTCTGATCATTAGCATCAACGACACTCACCAGCGATATAACCCTTATCCCACAATGTATCAATGATTTGCCGACCATAGACACCGCCTTGAAATAATGCAGTCTTGCCGCTGGGATCGATGGTGATGGCATTGAGAAGTGTCATGTCGAGCTGCAGGCCCTTGAACCTGGCAATTGTGGTGGTCGATCCATGACCCCTGTTGACAGTTAAGAAATTGATGCTGTTCTTGTTACAGTAGGTAACCTATGACGAGTGTTAGCCGGCAAGTGCCGTGTGTAAGAGCGACCCATACAAAGCACTCACGATCTTGGGCACGTCTGCCTCACTGGCTGGCTGCACCACTATCTCGATGGTGGGCAGTGCAGCAAGGTTCCAGCGGTCGGTGGCTTCAGCGTAGGCATCGTTCTCTGGCCCAAAGATGACCGAACCAGGCGACAGTATCGCGCCCAACTCCCTTGACACGATGGGAACAGACAGGCCGCGGCAGGAGAGGGACGGATCCCTCAAGAAATCTGCTATTGGCTCAGTCGCAACCAAAGTGGGCAGCAGAGGCAGGAAGCCTACGAGGCGGGTCAATCGGATAATAGACGCCATGTTGCACTCTGTGGGTTGTACCAAGTCAAGGCCTATCCATTACCAGAGACAACGGACAGGAGGATGGTGGTAGTATCATTGATCTTATGTATGATTGCCACACGTGGCGGTCCACTTGCGGAGACGAATTAGAAAGTGAGAACAAGGATAATTGCTCGCCTCAATCTCGCCTCGGAGCACTTTTGAAGTTATTACCTGTGTCAGCCGCCATGAGAAGCAAGGGAGCGCAAGGGCTGAGGCACGGGCTTGCGGCCTGCCGTCGATTGATTGTTGGAAGCGAGGCCCATGGTCCCTGATCGGGCACTTGGCCGGCCTGGAGTGAGATTTCATGGGGTTCTTCTGTGCAGTATATGCCAATATTTTACTTTTGTGCAATATTACATGCAGCAAGATCCTGAGCCAAACTCATATTATGCGCGTCAGGTAGCAATACTACCTGTTTAGGCTTCTTACTACTTATCTAGGCTTCCTGGCGTAAGATTTATCGGCACCCCCGCGTTTCATGTTGATTGGTATTAGACATGCATCTATACAATCGTCAAGGTAGCATTTGTTCCTTTTGTCTTGCAAATTGACCGAGACAAAAGGACATTCCATCGGATTGGTCACGGGAGGGTAGGTGTATACCTATCAAGTTACATTCTGTTGACATGTCGACATCTTCCATTGCTGTTTTTTACTGTGCGAGCCAAGCTGCTCGTATTCTCAAGCCCGCATAGAGTTGCATTCGTAGGCTGCCGCCATGGATGTTCCCACAGGAACCAACCTCCTATCATGCGAGTTTGGGATGAGCGGGGGGCACTTGGAGTGGCCAGTACGAGGTCAGTATGAAGTGACAGTTAGGTCAGAACGACAACGGTTCTCTACGATTCACGGGGGGTCTTATTCTTGCCGGCGGTTGGATACAGTCTGATACTTCATTAACTTGCTCTGTAAATAAGATCCCCCAAAGCTCTAAAGCAGTTTATTCCGAAGCACGCAGTGTTTTGGCATTCCAACATGCCGCACGCGTGGCAACTCTGGCTTTCTCCACGGCCATCTCGTACACCCACGAACTCTAAGGCCCAGATCTACGGTGCCCACGATGCAGTGCTCTTTGAATTCATCCGCCAAGAAGGCAACCGCGAAGTGGTGAGAGAAACACATCATATCGATAACAAAATTGTCAAAGACGGCCTATCTGGACCTCCAATGTAAGTCAGTCCTTGGACCATGGAACCATGTTCTGATACTAGTGAAAATAGACACATACACATGTTTCAAGATGAATACTTTCAGATAGAAAGCGGCGTGATAGCGGTCCAGAGGGGCTGTGAGACAATAGTAGCTAGCCAAGGCGATGGAATCATCATGATACCTGCGGGCACTCGGTGAGCATCTACACTGCCAACTTGTCACCAGGTCACGCCTTCTCATGCCAGAAAAACCTAGACATCGCTTCTGGGCGCACAGCTCTGGTGCAGAGGATCTCGTCTTCAAGGTGTGGGCTCAGCCCCAGGGCCTCGAGCGCGGATTCGATGAGAAGTTCATCCGGAACCTCATTGGATATTCTCGCGACTGCCAGCGCGCCAACATGGAGCCGTCTCCTTTTCAACTCATGCTCTTTGCCGAAGCCAGCGGAACCGTTGCATCACCGCCTTTCTGGTTGCCCATCTGGTTCTTGAAGTCAGTGCAGCGCGTCTTGGCATATGGAATCGGTGGGTTTTTATTAGGGTATGACAACAAGAGCAGGTTTCTTTTCCATAAACTAATTAATTGCTTAATAGATACAAGGACGGATATCCCGAGTACAGCGATGCCTGTGCCGGATCTGATTCGCACGGTAAGAAGGTGTCTTGATGGTTTGCCTTACTCGTCTGAAGAGGTTGCAAAAGCCTCGAGAGGGAATTGTACCTAGATATTGGAAATGATAGCATCTACATTTGCAAAGGAAAATTCCTTCATCGTCTCATCCCATAGTTTCTTAGCAATGGCCTGGCCCTCGGGCTTGTATACTATCGGTGCTTTGCTAGAAAAACGAAAGTATCAACAAATGCATCGTGTCAAGGGGTGCTAGGGAAGACTCACGGCCGTATCTTGCCTTCTTCGACATACTCGCCATGCACCTCGTCGCCAAACCTGGCCGCAGCATGGACGATGACGCGAGCGCATACATCATGGGGCTTGCCCACGATGCGTGTCCAGCCACGGAAGAGGGCACCGGCAATCTTGCCCTCCCCTTCTCGCTGCAGAGCCGTGCCGTAGCAGAAGCCTGGATTGACCGCATTGATGACGACCACCGACGAGGGCACGCGCTGCGCCAGCTCGGTTAGGAATAGGTGTCCAAGCAGCTTGGACTCTCCATAGCGCGCTGCCAAATTCCAGGCCTTGGCCTTCTCTTTGAAGACGGGCAGGATTAAATCGGACGAGGCAGAGGTGAGGGGAAACCACCCGGCCATGTCGGAGGAAACAAAGACGAGGCGCCCCGGGTGCCCTGGCGACTTCTTGAGGGCGGGCAGCAGTAAGATTGACAGCAGGGCATTGGATAAGTAGTTGATCTGGACGTCCATCTCGAAGCCAGTTGTAGGGTGAAACTCCTCCTCGGCTTTGAAGATGCCAGCGTTCAGGATGACAAGGTCGAGGCGCGCCAGGGCCTTGGCCCGCTCCGCGAATTGAGTGATGGACTCGTAGGATGCCAGGTCCAAAGACCAGACCTCGATCTGGGGAGCATCGCCGGTCCGGGCCGAGAGTAGGCTCTTTCGCGCGGCCTCGCCCTTTGGCTCGCTACGGACTGCGAGGACGAGTGTGCTTAGTCCCAGGTCCAGGAGCTGGCGCGATGCCTCCAGCCCCAGCCCGACATTGGACCCGGTGACGATGGCCGTCTTCCCCGTCAGGTCGGCTTGGCCTCTGTTAACGGGCTCCGTCTTGACGAAGAACTGCCGATAAAAATACTGCCCGGGGCTCGCCTCCTTCTCCGGCGTGATATCGTACTTGGAGGCGTCCATCTCGGGGCTCCGGTAGAGTGGCGACGCTTGTTGGGTGACTGAGGGGAACCAAGCAATCAAGAGGACAAGGGGCAAAGGCCAAAACGTCGATGGCCCTTGAAGCTAATGCGTGGCTGTAAACAAAAGCGAACTGTAAATAGCCTCAGCGGGCAGCCTCCAGTCTGTTGTGCTTATATCATCTGCCCGGACAGCGAACGAAGGCGGGCACAATAGCGGCAGAACCTGTCACAGGTGCGACGGCCATATCTAGACCAGCCTGGAACGCACATGAACAAAGTTCCTCAAGACCATACGTGATACTTGGATAGGTACAATGACAGTGACCTTTGGCAACACCGCCACGTATTGTCCATTTGGCCCACAAGGTTGCCTGCATGCATGCAAGTAAGGTGGCACCAAGGGCCAACAAATTAATCCTTTGTAACGGAGTGGTCTGTGTCGTAGCAGCCGGTTGGTTTGGCCTGCAGCAGGGACAATGGGTGACAATGCACGCCAGCAACACCGCATTGCCACCAAAGGATCCGTGCTTGATGCATGCAGCCCTCTTCCCCCAGAGACTGACCGGTTAATGTGGTGTGTGTCCTGGGGTTGCATTGCTCCGTGTGTGTGTGATAGAGGCACGCCCCCATCCCACATACTGCTCGGCGGCCGACGTTTATACTAACGTGCCAATGCTTACAAGATCAGGACGGAAAACATCAGGCCGTGTAACCCATAACGAAATGAGCGCAACCGGTGGGAAACGGATCACACCTTGTTCTCCTTGTCTTCGCAGCAGCATCCGTGGTCTAGGCTCACTATATTTTGTGTTCCCATACCTCGGCCATTGCCGAATTTGCGCATGACCAGGCGAGGCAGACAGGTATCCGGGTCAGTCCTCGTCCGTCCTGCCTGGACTCAAAAGATAAGGGAGGTCAGCAGGTCACATAATGTAACTTGGTCAGGAAGGATTCTTATTTGGACCGTATCTGGATAATTTTACGACGTGGCTTCCCACCACTTCACTCGCTATTCCTAGTTATCAACAATGGCGTGCACCGTGTGTGTATGGTTTGGGTGTCAATACTGTTTCATGTGCTGTGATCCTTCTTTTGATGTGACCAAAGAGCTGCAGTTTGCAAGTTCAGCTCAGTCTGCAAGTTCAGCTCAGTCTCCATTGCCCAGGGATAAATACATGACTTTCCATTGTTAGGCTGGAGCTGGTTGAGACTAGACCCTCTCTCTTCGTCGCTTGTATACCTGTCCTACGCTTCGCTGCTCTTGTTGATTTTTATTTATCAACCCTTTCGAGGTGCCATGGATTCCAAGTCGCGCGAGCAGATGGAGCGGATTCTCAATGGGCCTGCTCTCACGCCGCCGCCGGGCCATACGCCACAAATCGATAACCCGCCGAATATGAACTACATCACCCATGCTGCAGTAGCGATTTGTCTCGTGGCGTCTGCTGTCTCAATGGCGTTGCGCCTGACAGCACGATGGAAGCTGCTCCATCTTGCTGATTGTAAGACTCTCCTTGGACGAGGACAGGCTGATGCTAATTTCGAATCAGACATTGCCATAGTTTCCTTTGTATATAGCCGCCGTTCATGCCGACTTATACTATGCTTGGGACAATTGCTAATCCAACATGCCTAGGCGCTATATATTGCGAAGACTTATTTTATATACCAGATAGTTCATAACCCCGGAACCTTTGTACACCAGTACGATATCCGTGTTCGAGACATGGTCAACTTCACATTAGTCAGTGTGCCTATCCGCTCCTTCGTGTTCACCCTTGCTGACTAGCCAAAGCCGATATTCATCATGACTCACGTATATGTCTCTGCAGTAGCCTTGATCAAAACTGCCATCATCCTGGAATGGATGCGGATATTCAGTACGGCCGCTCGGGATTGGTACTTTTGGCTGAGCCATTTCATTATATGGACCAATCTTATCTGGGCCTGCGTGGCTCTCATCCTCCTCAACGTCTCCATGGCTCCTCACCAAGCTATCTGGAACCCGGCTGTGCCTCCGACTGCCCATCGGGCCAATACAAGGCAGACCAATCTGGTCACTGCCTCGCTCAACTTCGTCTACGACTTGCTGATCCTCCTGTTGCCTCAGCAGAGGATCTGGTCGCTCCACCTCAAGAGGTCCAAGAAGCTGGGAATATCCGTCGTCTTCGCCTTTGGTTTCTTGTATGCCGATCAACTACCTGCGCAACTTGGTGTTCCAGTGACTAACTCGCGCGCATGTTTTAGTGCCATTGCTGCCGCTGCTGCCCGTCTAGACGCGACAATCACGGTCAAGGCAAACCCAGACTTCACCTATAGCTACTCACGGTTAGGCCTCTGGACCTATGCAGAGACGACGTGCGGGTACCTGGTGTTTTGCATTCCCACCATGCCAAAGGCCATCGACAAGCTGCACCCGGGCCTCATATTCTCCTCCTTCAGGTCATGGGGCAGTGCCTCGGCACGTTGGCTGCGTGCACCTCGTACCAGCAAGTCTTCTGGATCTGGAACACGGCAACTGTCGCACCCCAGCAAATACAACAAGTTTGACGAGGATCAGTCGCCCATCATTGAGCTTGGCCAGCCACGTAGGAGTAGGGCTAGCGATTCCAAGTCCCAAGATGTTGACACCGATGTGGAGATGGGCAGATTTCATCACGGCCAGCGTCATTGATCATAGTATTCGGGCTGTGGTAGTGGTTTATCGTATCTGGAGTAGGGTGGCGAGCATGTCGTACAAATATAGCTTGTGAAATAGATGGGGCCACATTAGTTTCAAAGGTTCTCCATCTAGATCATACTATAGCTCTTACTGTTTCTGAACAACTTTATTTCTCGATATTCATAGTTGACCTAGTAAATAACAGCACAGCTGGTACAAAGACTTGATGTGAAACTAAGCCGCAGCTAACAGACTGTATTACTATCACCCTTTACAATCTAGGCTTTATCTAAATCCTGATTTTAATTTCAGCTCTCTTATTTTAATTATATATTTATAATAATTAAATATTTTTTTTCAGGTTTTTTACTATATATAAGGGATATTCTAGGATCAGGCTATATATAACTAGATCTATATAACTGGTTTTTTATTTATCTCTAGTCTATATCTAATCTAATATACTAATCTTCTATATAAAGAGTAAAACTAAAACTAATTAGAACTAGTTTTTAAGCTATTTAAAACTAAGTAGGTATTATATAAGCTATAATACTAAATATATAAAGCTAGTAAATAGTATTTATAATTTAAATAGAAAAACTTAGCTTAAATTTAAAAGAAAAAATCTTATTAAATTTATATTTTAAAATTTTAATAAATTTATTAAAAAATCTATATTTTAAATCTTCTTTTTATATATTTTTAAGATTTTTCTTTATTTAATTATTTAAGTTTAAAAAATTATCTATTTAGAAATAATATAAAATAATAAGAAGATTTTCTAATTAGGAATAATACTAATAGTAAAAATATCTAATTAGATATAGACTTTATTTAATTAAATATTT